ACCACTGTCCACACTAACCCCATTTAATGGGGTTAGTGTGGTCACCTGTTTTTTTGTTTTCAATAATTAATAACCATTAATTTTAATTATATTTCTGAAATTTTTTTGGTCATAAAATAAAGCTAAATAGTTAGTCAATAATACATGATTTTTGAAATAAATGTTTTTGACACGCGACCATTTTTGTTTCACATACGTACGCAGAAACGAAATAAAGTGACCACACTAACCCCTACCGACCCTAGAGGAGTCGACCCAAGCCAGGCCAGATTTAGCCGAGAAATCGATAACAGTGAGAAATTTAATTCAAAATATGACCTTAATTTTGTACCTAAACACTATATTGTTTTTTTACAGTTTGCTGCGGGACGACGAGACGTTGGCGCAACCAGGTGATCAACTTCCCCACGGAGAACCGAATTTGTCGGTGTAACCCGCTTAGGGCTGGTAGTAGTTTGTACCGATGGGCTTGTACGGCTGCACCAGCAACCACGACGCAAGGTAAGGGGCATGGGGGTTACTAATTTAGTTGAGAGACTTTCTACACAGGGTTAACGTCACATTGACTCCAATGATCAAGTATAAAAGGGTGTAAAAAAAACCTAGAATTTTAGCTTGAAAAGCCAGGTGGAGTAGGTTTATCACTTTCAAACCTAACCGATTTCTAAGTATATCTGAATAAGTATAAAGTTAAGTTTCCAGGGATTCTAAATGCAGGAAGTAGCAGAATTCACAATTTCAATATCGAAAACGTATCAATATATGTATCTATTTTGAACCAATATATTTCGAATTATTTAGCAACGACCACGACCGTCCCAACAACAACTACCGTCGCCACGACCACAACGGTTCCAACGACAGTTTTCGTCGAGCCGACGACTCAACCCTCAACCACCACGACTGTCAGGGTAGTATTTCCTTGAAGCACAACATATCGTAAATTTGGGCAATGGATCCACCACCTATAAAATTTATTTCTCTAAAAATTTCCTGTTCATAAATTAGAAATATTTCAAAGTTTTTCTTGTTAACCGATATATGTACATATGTATGTAAGTACATACATATACATAAGTAATAAATTTCTTCTAAAATTCTGCAGAATCGTGTATTTCCATGCATACTACTTGCTGATCAAACATATGTATTCTTGAAAATAATATGTGCCGGTAACGATTAAAAAAATAAATTTCCGTTTTTACGTGCAATTGGAAACAAGATTTAAACAGTTATGTATATAGCAGGGCATTTTTAAGTTGTTTTTGTGAAATTTTGCGTGAGTACATATGTAAGAGTTTGTTGACTATTTTCGTCTAATTTAGTGTGCATGACTACATTCGCTACTATTATTGAGTAAACAGTGGTTGCAATATTTCCGTGCTCCTAAATTACCCACAGGTAAAAATAGAGAATTTTAGTGACCTTTTAAAGGCGAAGATTTAACCTGTCTTGGAATTGTAATATGGGTATTATTTAACTACCACCAAAGTTTTTACAGGTATGTATGTGAATGTGCAACATCTTTACGGGCATAAATTAGGTAACATATATGTTGTGAGGGTATAAAATGTATGAACATTAAGAAAGAATTAATGCCAAACGTATGTCCTTAACATACAAATATATGTAATTCCATCAAGTTTATTGAATAAATTTTCATTAATTAAATTAATCACGCAAATTAAAAATTGTGAATTTATAGATGTACCTCTACATAAATATTACTTATCGTTAGATACATGTATTTACATATGTACATATGTATGTAGACTTGCTCGTATGCAGCTTGAAAATCTCAACTTATCAAGTTCTGCAAAATTTGCTAAATGTTGCAAAAGTTTTTGTTGTAAGCGATCTTTTGGGGAATTTTCAGTGTAATCTTTACACAGAAATGTTTTTTATTTATTTTCAAGATGATTTTGTAAATTACTTGCTCATTTTCCTATAGGAAATGTGTGTATGTACCTTGCTGTAAGTCCACCACATAAATTACTGTAATATATATAGTTGTATTTATGTACCTCTGAAATTACACACATTTAGCTAAATATTGATCGAAAGTAACGCACTGATCGTGTAATCCACAATCGACGCGTAGTACGACCCCTTCGTCGCCATCTCCAAAAAGAAAAAGTTAGTCCCAAACAATCCAGCAAAAACTTTCAACGGTCTGATCGACCTTATCCGTTTTCTTATCCATTTCACCTCTTCCATCTTCACCGAACTTGCCAACTGCAGTTCCCACTTTTCCCCAAGTGGTTTCGAACTCTCGTAAACCTCAATGACTATCGGCAACACGACCGCGATGACCACGCTGACCAAAACGGCACCCATCGGATAAAAGGCGAAGAGTGGCATCGGAATTATCCTGTAAAGTTTGATCGTCACGAAATTGAAGCCTACGCAGATCACGAATCCTGCCGACAACGTGAGAGCCAAACCGCACGAAAAAGTGTCGTAAAACATGGCCATGATGACATTCAGGTGCGTGTAGTGGGTCAAATTGAGTCTAGCTCGGGCCAAATTTAGGCTAATCGGGGATCGGTTTAAGGCCGAAATGACGCCAAGAATTAAGTGGAGGGCAACCGCACAGGTGCAAATTGCGAGGGCAAGGATGCGACTCGTTTGCATGGCAGATGGCGTATTTACCAGGATACGGAGAGGAAGTAGGAGGATATATTTCCAGGCGGAGGTGGAAATCAGTGGGTGTGGTGACGATGGGAAATGTTCCAGTGTGAGGAAAACTGGGTCAAGTTCGGCGTACAGGCCAAATCCGATGAGGGTGAAGGGGAAGGTGGAGTAGGTTAGGACGATGTTGTTCAAGGCGGTGCCAAGCATGTCGAATTTTGGAGGAGATTTTTCCCTGTTGGTGGATATTGTTCCTAAAACAATTGGCATTGAGTGTACTCACATCAAAATTCAAATATCTCGCACATCTCGTAAGTTTAATAGCATGTTAACATGGCTTTCGAAGTTTTACGAATATTGCTAGATTTCGCAAAACTTTTGCAGAAAAACCATGGATTTTTTTTCGCAAATTTACGCATCCAATGAACATTTATAATTATATTTCGCCAAATCATTTAACAAACTCATCCTTACGATCACCATCAAAAGAAATAAAAGAATTGCATAACATTGAAAAAGGGGTTTTATACCAAGACGCAAATTTGTGAGATTTGCGAATCCCATCACCGTATATATAAATTTTTTGAACTTCACAAATTATCTAAATTAGTTGGGATGCGAAATATGACGTTGTCTTGAGTATGATAATTAAATGGTAAAAATCATAAGCTTTTCACGCGTCAAAAATCGAATGAATGTACAAATTGTTGAAAAGTACCCTCTGTCATCTCTGCCTCCATCCCTTTCAAGAAATTGAACCCAATCGCGAAATGTTGCGTGTAGAATAGCGTGGCAAATTCGAACGAGACGAATGTTGCGAAGAGGACGTTCATAACGGACAGGATGAGAGGGACGATTGGGAGGAAAATCCTTCCGTAGATTTGTCCCAGAACTAGCAATATGCAAAGCAAAGATACCATCGAAGCGGAAATTAGTGCCCCCACCCAAGGAATCAATTTCTTGGAGAACGGGGTAAATTGAAACTTTTGATTTTTCCTGTCCCATTCGAACGGACATGGCCACATGTAACCGAAATAGATGGTGAAATTGTCCAGCGACTTCCACATAAGAGGTGTTACCACCATCCTGGTCAAACTGAGATTTCTGGATGTTTAAGAAATTAAAATATGTCCCACGTCGTTTTAAATGGCATAATTTGAGAGTTTTAAATTAAATGACGTTGCACAAAGATTATTGTGTTAAGTTTTCATGCTCAACCAGTGTTTCTGAAACAGTTGACAGTTTATCGTGTATGTATACCTGACTCAAAATATATCAAACTGTCCATTTTACCCACAAAATTATGCCCCTTGTGCATACACGTAATACGTAATTTTTCATGGCCATAGATCCCTAAGCTGCCGATACAGCATAAAAGCTGAAAGCTTAAGCATTTCTAATAAATTAATGTACGTATGTATGTATCTACTGATTAATCGAATGAAAACTGTTCTCCGTACATATGTATGTACATACCTTGAATTTAGATTAACGAACGTGTGCAGGGACTTGACGGTCAAATACTAAACTGTCATGAGTGTCACGTAGGCCTGAAGAGGATGGATATTTTGTCGCGAATACATATGTGCATATGTATGTATGACTCGTCCACGTACCAATTTTATTTACGATCATTAAAGAATCTAAAATCGTTAAGAAATTCGATTTTAAGATAATACTTACTAAATAATATTCCTTCCATATTCCTCAAGTTACTTATTAAGGACATCCACGCGTCTATAAGTAGGTACATTATACATAGATAAATACGTACATATGTATTCTTATGTATAGCTATGAATGTGTATGCATATGTACATACTGAACATAAGTAAGTGGCTTTTGAAGCTATCCCTTGCGTTTAAATTAAGCTTTATACGGATATCGGGCAGACATAAATATTTGAAAATATTGATTATTCATTAGACCTGTGTATGTATGTATGTATGTCCGTACAAGTTTTGTCCGTTGCGAGTTTTAATTTTTACATAAAAATGCGATATATGCATCAACTTAAATATCCAGAGCATGAATATGTACATATGAAGGGTGCATATTTAGTAGTACTTTAAGCATGCTAAATAGGAATTTAAGGACCAATCGGTCCTCCGATAGTACAAAGGATCCACTTTCATTGATATTTAGCATTGAAGGCAGAAATACAAAATTGTAAAACTCATGCACTTAACCGAGTTAACTCTTATTGGTGGCTAGGGATTTCATAAGCCTGGCCTGAGTCACTAAAAAAGAAATAGATATGCATACATACATACATACATAATTATGTGTATGTAAATAAATGCATACCATATATGCATAAAATATTAATGACATAGGTACACCAGTATGTAGAATACGCATTGAAATACTTATGTATGCATACATACATGTAAATGTATAAACAAAAAAAATAGTACCGAAAAGTATATTTGATTCAAAATTATAAAAACTGATCAGAATTTAGTGTTACCAACTTGCAAGATTTATGAGCAAATATTTCAATTACATTCTTCATCCTAATCCGAAAAGGCACGACATTTCAAAAGCGTAACGATGCACGTAGCACGATTGCTATTTATCGTCAAATTAATTTCCTTAATTATTCCGTGCATCGAGGGAGGTAAAAAAACTTGAGATTTTGTAGTTTCCAATTGTAAATATTCGTGAAAAGTTAAGCATATAAATTGCTCGCAGGGTCAAGAAATGAGACCCAAACGACAAAACTTCACCTGGGGACTCCAGTCACAAGCAAGGGTTACATGGCGAATGAACTTGGTTCGGCCTACATTGTGTTTGCGGTCAGATCTTCGGACGACACATTTTGCGTCGGTGTGCTCAAAAGCAGGACCGAGTTTTGGACTACGACCCTTTGCGCTAAAGAATACCAAGGGTGAGTGAATAAATCGTAAAATTATGATACACATTTGTGTCTTGGGCATCGGTGTAAATATGTTTGGATGTAAGTTCCATTCATAATGATATAATCATTGTTTGAGGAGTTGAAATTTTCAACTCCCCTAAACAACAATCTCAACTTGAAATTGTCCCAGAAAAGTTCAATTTGATATGACAGTAGTAAAAAACAGCCCCCAAATCTAAATCCTTCTACGGACGAAAACATTAAGCTTTGCATAACAAAAAGCTTAAAAAATACATATGTATGTACAGATATATAGAGCCACGTAACATTAACAGGTCTAAATGTCAAAATTTGAACACGGCCCTACCTGGTTTCTGTAAATTTGAGAAGTTTTTTGGACTTCGTAAAGAATGTCATAACAAAATTGAGGAATGCAAACGTGTTCAAAGCGTTTTTTTTAAATCCAGGTTCACCCTGGTCACGGGTACTCGAAACTTTAGCGAACAAACAGAGCTGCATACCCTCAGTTCATGGGCTGCTACATACTCCAGCGGGGTGGTGGAATTGCAGGTAAGTTGCGGTATTCAAAACGCTTATTTTTTTAATGCGTTGGTAATTTGGAGACAAAAATCCTATAAATTGCAAAAACCTGAGCTATGCATAATGTCTATTTCCCCTAGTTTTCTCCCAGCCTGGACACCAAATCTTTAACAAAAATCCCCACATTTTATAAAGGAATCCGGCCCCCACCGGCGGACACGGAGTGCGTTACGTACGGCTACTCAAGGAATTCGGACGGTGGTGAAATAACAATTCTGGGATATCTTTACACCAAGGTTACCAACACTGCGACGTGCGGGACCAGCTTCGACGGACTACAGGGGACTAATTTCTGCGCAACTATTATCCCGGTACCTGATAGGGTGACGACAGCGTCTCCGATTTGTCCGGTATGACAATTGCAATTTGTTAAATTACTACTGGTAGAAAATAATGCTAAAATACTGTTAGGGAGATGTCCCGACCGTTCTGGTGTGTTATCTGCCCGTGAAGAGTGTGAAGGATGCAAGTGAAAATATGGCGGGAAAGGGGCAAGATGAGACAATCCCTGGAATTAGGTCCTGGTGCCAACTTCATCCCACTTTTGCCGGATGCGCCCAATTCTGCGCGACAATTCCACTTTTCTGTGGAACTACGACTACAACAACGACGACCGAAGAACCGGAAACGTTTTCCTGGGTGGTGACCGGAATCCAGGCTCGGGAAACAAGCGCATGTCTTTCTCTATCCGACAAACCGCGTCTCATACTGTACACACTCTTCCCAAATTATTTTTCCTCCGAGGGATAACTGAACAGTAAATTCTTGTAATTTTGGATTTAGAAAGTACTAGAAATGCAATTTGACCGAAATTTGTGGCAAATAATGTAAGATTGAGCACTGTCAGAAAAAAATAAATTAGTTTGGTTCAATTTTTAATGACAAAATCTTACGGCGATCAAAAATACCTTCAGTATTTAAAGACCAATAAGTCGTTCCGTGTACACGGACCCCTTATTCATTACCACATGGTAACAAATACGACGATATAAGGGATCCACTTCTGTATATTTACATACATATTTTAACGCATAAATGGAAAACTCATACATATAACAGAGTTAACTCTTATTACATACATAACACTATATAGTCCGACTCACTAAAAAAAGAGTTGAAATATTGAATTCCTGCACATGATAAATTATATTTGCCTGAATCCACAATCTGTAAATAGATTGCATACCTTTTTCCAACAAACTAAAAATAGAATGTTTTCTGCATGGAAAAATACTAAAGGGCTATTTATCTACCAAGTCCAACTTTAATATGAACAAGAGAAGGGACACTATTTAGAAATGTATGTATCATTTTTACACCTTTTGTGGCTTGTAAGATGGAGACGATAGAAATAATGTGGCACAAACTTATTATTCTTTCATTCCTGGGAATATATTTATTCAAATCTGGAATTGGTGGTAAGCTTACTTATCATATTGGGCGTACTCATTGCAATCTTGTAAATCTCTTAAGGTGAATATATCACTAAAAATTTAGAGAAATTTGCTACATTTCACAAACATTTTTCCCGTAGACGAATTAAATGTTTGTTCTCAGTTTTGCTCAATTAATTGGCGTTGTTTTAAGAAAAAATAACTACATAAATTATTTGTCTAATGGATTGCGATGCGAAATAAGTCATTAACAATAGTATTTAGTACGGCCCATATAATAACAAAAATTAATATTTACAAATTGAAATCGAGTGCGTTACATAATACGAATATTTTGCTACATAATCATTTTACAGTGGAATTAGACGCCAAGACCTTCAAGGAGACGAGGAGTGCAAGATTTTACGACGGAAATGCCATATCACAAGCAAGTTTTGAAAAGAATTCTTTCGGATCTGGTTACATTGTGTCGGCTCGAAATTCCGAGGGCAAAATTTGCATCGGAATTCTCACAAGTCGTGACAAGTTTTGGACCACATCAACCCTTTGTGATGGAACAAAGACTCCGTAAGTAAATAAATATACTTTTTATGCACAGTTCAAAATTGTGGACTGTTATATGTACAAATGTAAATCTGGTATTGTAAGTAGTCAGGTAGGTCTTGATTTCTCGGTGTTAAAGTTGCTACCGTTGAGTATTACAATTATATCGGACCGTAAAAATTTGCAACCCATACGGTAAAATTTTAATATCGAGCTATTACTACACTGGATTTCTTATCCATACCATTTTTGGTAGAATCATATATTCATATATGAATAGTATGAATACGGCTTGGTATCATTTTAATACTGCAGTTCTCAGTGCGTAAAGTAATTTCCGCGTGTATGTATTTAAATAGAAACAGCTAAAATTGCAATGCCAACATTTTTAAACATCTGATGTTAATTTTGTACCGTTTAGATTCGAAATATTTACGGGATCATTGATTCAAACTGGAGGAAGTGTGCAAGATCAATCCGGATCCATTAATACGTTAAGATATGACATGCTTGAGATACCTGTAAGTTGCGAATTTTATTTTTGCAAGTGCAATAATTTTTAAATCTTCAAGCTTAATACGACATTTTAATTTCTAGAAACTTACATAATTTTTATACGTGCGTATTTTGCTCTAGTTTAGCCCTCCCCTGGATACACAGTCATCCACGAAAGTGGCACCATTCTCACCTGGAATCCCTGGAATCCCACCAGTTGACACAAACTGCGTGGCTTTTTACTACTCGGCTACGGACGCATGTTCTCCCGATGGGGCGAATTCCACCTTGACCTTTTTGCCAGCGAAGGTCACAACGAAGGAAAGATGTATGGAGATTTATGGGGATATTCACCCCCACCATTTTTGTGCTCAAGTCAACCACGACGAGATAGACGTTAAAATGGAAGATGATCCAGTTTGCAGGGTACGGAACATATTTAAAATAAATTTATGGGGTAATGCCCAGGAACATTAATTGGACGATCTGAAAGAGGAGGGGTTTAATACTTACAAGGATACGAAAATTGAAGACTTGCAAATTTTGCAACATTTGCAAATTTGGCAACATTTGCAAATTTGGCAACATTTGCAAATTTTGGGGAAATGCTCCTGCCATTTGACGTTTAATCGAGTTAATTAAAAAAAATATTTGCGGAGGCAATTCAATCAGTCATTGGTAACTTGTAAAATCGGAAAGTTTAGTAGAATAATTTTACAAACTTTTACAAACTAAAAAGATTCCCTACTCCCTTGATCTGAGTAAGTTTACAACAATTTGTAAACTAATTTAAATATTTATAAAATTCTGTAAAAGTTTGCAAGTGTACAGAATTTACGGATTATAAATATTTTATGAATTTGTACAAAAATTGTCTGTAACAAAAGATCCAGGGTTCGGAAAAGCCCAGGGTTTTATTCAAAAAGTATCGACCCAGGGGTTTTAATGGGTTTTAATGGGTTTTTTGGGTTTTAATGGGTTTTAATGGGTTTTAATGGGTTTAATGGGTTTTATTGGGTTTTATTAGGTTTTACTTAAATAATACACTGAAAAAAATTTTCACAACTATTGCAACCCAATTCCAGTCATACATATGCAAATCCTTGTCCATGTTAGAATATGTACGTATCTGTTCATATTAACTGATGACAATTTAATACCATTTGGGACCATAATTAATTCTTTTTCCTGAATACTACCTCTCATCATAATGAAATCCAAGTTGACCAGAACAGCAAAAATCTTGTCTTGTAAGCAGTTCATGTGAAAATGTCCCCCATACGACACATTTCCAAGCATACATATTGAAAATTAAAATATAAGCTTTTCTACCTCCAACAGAACCTAAATATGTCCCTATTAGAGAGAAATTCAAACCAGCAAAAGCTTCCAGGGCTTTTGTGGTTGAGTAAAAATTCATAAAATTTGTAAAGTTTTTCAAAATTTAATGTTTCCAAATTTAATAGTTTTTAGCGATCTCAAGGTGCATTATTACTTCTGGAAAAAATCGAGTATTTATGGATAACGAAATACATTATTATGAGCAAAAAAAGTATATCCGTAAAAAGAACTTGTTATGGTCTAGAGTAGTATTAAATAATACATGATCAGTGACTATTCCGAAATTACTTTTCTGTATCACTTGAAACCTGTGATGGTAAGGGATGGATTCGTTGATTTATTCCTGGTTTCAAAACGTACAATATTAAAGAACTAAACTGCTTAGCTGCCGTAAAACAACTTCGTCTCACGTATGATAGATGTTTCCAGCTTTTAGAATATAGTTTTAAGGTAAAACCCAGTTAAAATCCATTAAAACCCGAATAAAACCCATTAAAACCCAAATAAAACCCATTTAACATGGTAAAACCCAATGGTTTTATTCATTAACAACCCATTAAAACCCATTAAAACCCAAAAAACCCAACCCAATAAAACCCTGGGTCGGAATACCCTGAAAAGATCTTATTGCGACGATTTCGGATTTTACTACATTTTACCAACACTCTTTTACAGGACGATACACAAAACGTTTTAGTGTGCTATTTACCCGAAAGGATGGCCAGAAGTGGAAGTGCGGATGATTACAATGCTGATCCAGAGATGCTGAAATTATTTTGTCTTGTAAACCCAACTGCGGCTAAATGCACCATTTTCTGTTTTTTGTTTCCACATTTCTGCACCACCCAAAAACCGCAACTCCAAAGGGAACAATATGTCTGGTTGGTTAGTGGGATAAGAGTCAAATGGTCGATAATCTCATGCAAGACATCAGATCCGGTTCTGTACTCGGTTTTTCCTAATTTTCCAAGTTAACCTTTAACGTGCTAATAATAATAATAATTTGACAATTAATAAACCGCATATGCTTTTAAGAATAAAGTAATACTTGCTTAAAATTTATGTACGTTTCATGAAAATTGCCATGAAATTTCATGAAAATTGCAATTATGGTGTGCATAAACGTTTGCATATTACAAGTTTACTAGCACTGAAATGCATACATGCAAACATAAGTTTAATTAAGAAGATTTTACATAACGCGTCGTATTCTATTTATTAAGAGCAATTGGTGATTATACAGTAATCTCATGGAAAACTTTAATGTCACGATGTAATAAATCTCTTTACATAATTGATTAATTACAGTACATGTACATACATACATATACACGGTTAGAAATCTGGTATAGTCACACAGTTAACGATTTCAAGGTATTAAAGCTGCAACCGCTTGGTATTAAAATTATTAGTCATAAAAATTTGCCACCGATGCGGGAAAACTTTAATACCGAACCATATTACTATACAATCAATACAACTTTTGTAGAATCATACTGATACATGAATACCGCTTGGTGCTAATATTTTAATATTCGATTTTTAAGAGTGTATTAGGAAAGACCCAAAATTTTGCGTAATTTCCTCATCTCATAACACAAGTTGTTTTAGGCGGAAAATATTTTAGGTTTAACTTACCTACCTCAATTGAGGAAAATTAGCTAAAATTGGGGTCCCGGTTTTCACGAGAAATTTATCAAAGTAGATTTATAAAAAACAAAGCTAGACTGACGCATTCAATACAAATTGTGACCTAGCCAACCTTTTTGTACCCCTTCAGCTGCAGACGAATATACAAATATGCGCAACCTATGTACAGTAACAAGCGTAAGTTTTCCTACATGTTTGGTAATAAAATATAATGGGACAGGGTATAAACTTTGCACTCTAAATATCTAGTGACACTAATTGTAGCATCGATATGTATTTAAATACACTATAAATCTTGTCAACCCAATTTTTGCTAGATTTTCCTTGTAGACAAATGCATACATAAATACATATGTAGGTTTATCATAAGCCATTATGATATTATTTTTATACATTTTTTATTATTTTTTATTACATTTTCAAAATAAAAATCCGAATGAATATTCGTATAAATAGAGAAACCGACATGTTTGAGATTCAGTTACTTTACATATGTATTGTGGTCCATGGTTTAAGAATCGATTGATTCGCACATTTACTAAAGTTTGTACAAAATGGAAAAATTAATAATGTTCCCATTAATCGTAATTGTTTTGCTCAATTTTACTCTCTCAACGACTGCGATAACTTTTGAGGAGGATACGACGCTTTCGAAACAAGAGGGTATTGCATTTAAAAAGGTGAGTTATAGAATCACTACTTTCCGTTCAATATCTTTCGAAAAATTCTGAAACGTTATTTGGCATTTCCTAACCACCTTACAGAAATTTCAAAAAATTCGTTTTCCAAATTCTTAAAATTTTTATGAAACTATTTTGTGTTAAAGTTCAAAGCTCGAGTGACTCCCAAGTTGACGCACGATTATCAGAAAGAAGATCTATTTCTTCTGCGACATCTCAGAGGTAAGTATGTAGGTTATTTAATGATTGCTTTATGAAATTAATTCTTTATGTAAAATTTCATTTAAGAGAATCCAAACATTTTTTCAGCAAAACATTTTGACGTGACTAAAGCAGAAAATTTTATCCTTTCGGTTAGACCGTTATGTAATTCAGTTATAGTCAAAATATGTTCCTACTTAAATAATACTTAAATTTATCTACATAAATTATGGAACTATAGTTTAGATTAGACAATTACCTTGAATCTTTGCAACCTAATAAATCTTGTGAATTCTATTAACTTGAAGTCGCTTACAAAAATCACCCAAAATTATGAAGGCAGGGAAGAGTTCTATTTCAAAATTTCCTCAAATAACGAGGGCCTCTCTATTTTGTTAACATAAAAAAAATTATGTTGCAACATGAGTTAGCAGTACACTTAATATTTCAAAAATTTATATCGCTGATCAAACTCACGTGGGAAGGATAATTATTATTTTCAACTTCTTCCATAATTTAGCAAATGAAATGGCGAGCAGATAACAAGATGGAAACGATTCATCAAGAGGACTGGTCGGACATGAATGATGCGTACGGCATGCGGAGCGAGGGATACGACCGTGATGGTCGGCCACGTAAGGAAAATTTATTAAACCAATGCATGACATATTTTCGAACAGCGCAAACCGTGTAACTACATTTTTACAATTTTGAACCCTCAATAATTTAATTTCAGTTATTGTGTGGGAGCTGGGCGATTGGGTAAGTTCAAATTCATGACAGCATTGCTGTAATATCATAATTCTATATTATTTGCTGGCAAGCAGCATCTATATTATTAAAAGCTGACTTTGCATCAAAATAGGATTTGAGGAAGGGTGCCCTCGCGGGAAAAATGGATCGTATTATCCGCTGGACATACAAAAATTGGGACGCTGCCACCAAAAAAGTGCGAGATTTAGAATTGCAGAATAAAAATGTGACACGATGGTCGATGGTTATCGATCTGAGGAATATTAATTCCATAACAAATGTTAATTCGGCCAGTGAGTTGAAAATATTTTGATTTATGGGTAATAAAATTGTACAATAAATTTATTATTCGTCTCAGGTTTCCCGTACTACATTGCGGTGTCACTCGGCCTAGATTCTCACTTTCCCCACATGGTGGAGAAAATATATTTGCTGAACAGTAAGAAGAAAATGAATAAAAAAGTGGGGGAAAATTAAATAAAATTGAATGTCTTTTTTAGCACCCGGGCTTTTTGAAACTGTTCTGACCTTAGTAAAACCCGGGATGGCGAAGGGAACGCGAGATGCGCTGACCGTGTATGGAAAAAATGAAGCTGATTGGAGACCCGTAATGAAGGCTGTTGTTGACCCGGCCGAGTTGCCCCAAAGGTACGGTGGACTCAAAGAAGATCCCCACTAATGTGACAATGTTTTCCGATTTGTTGTTTAATATTTGTATTGTCACATACATGCAAAAGTTTATCTTGACGTGAATAAAGGCATATGTATACGTTTAAATCAAGGTCCTCTTATTATCCCAGTTCAAAATTTCCCCAAATTTTCTTTACATATATTAAAGTTAGAGAATATGGATGATTTTGATTTATGCTGGGAGAGTTTGGCTGTCACATGATCTTCAAAATTAACTCTGATTTCCGAAAATTTTCATATTCATCAAAATGAGCATGGTTGTATCTATGAAAATTCAGGGAAATGTGTCCAGAAGCTTTGTGCCTAAAAATTGTTACGAATTTGACATTACACTAAATATACGGTGAATTATCGAAGTTGATTAAGAATATCTGTCTGATGTTTGATAATATGTCATCCTACTTAAGCACGTGGCATAGTAATTAATAATTATGAATATAATAAAATACTAAAATTAACGTACGTTGTGAACCTTAAATACATACATGTATGTACATACCTATACATATGTACATACCGATAAGAACTTATGGCAAGGAAGCCCACCATCATCATGCAGCTTTGAACGTAAAAAAATCTCGATTAAAAATCAAACCATCGTGCCATGCATTTTTTTTACATATATACTCTATGAAAAAGCGTTGTAAAACAAATGACTATAAAGACAGGGATAAATTCGGACGAAAAATTAGTAATAATGCGATGCCAACGGTCTCGCTCCGATTGAAATGTATTCTGAATGAATAATGTGAATATTTACTGTTAAATATCACTGAATTATGAAGACATATCATTACACATATTTACATGCAAATAGATAATTTGAGCCCGTTGAAAGATTTTTAATCAATCAAATCGTAAAGTAATAGTTCTGATGATAAGCACTAATTATAGGAAACCTCCTCGTCTCCCCACCTCACTCGAAATCCAAGCAGAATGGATAAGTAGAAAACTTTGCATGTAATTGTATGTACGTACGTATAAGCCCTCAAACATACAAATTATTTGCCTGATCAGGTTTCATGGATATCCAGTTCCCTATCCCAACTTACAATACTTTACAATAATTAGATATCAAGAAAAGTCTGTAAATGTTCTAAAAAATTCGGTACGACGTGTTAAATCGGATTTGACGTATTTTCCCTTTTTCGATTAGGGTTCCAAACTCTTTCACCGTTCTAACCGGGACGATCGCATAGAAAGTCGAATCTTGCAGGTATTTCGGTCGATCGTGAAACGCAACGACCGGAATCGTCCATAAGGTCTCGACCTGTAAGAAATACATATTTATGTACATATTCCAAATATTTCTTATTCTTTGCCCATGATTTCCGTTACGATATAAATGCATACCTTTTTCCCACTTTCAAGTGTTGCAAACACTTTCAACTCGAACATGAACTTCTCTGCGGTTTCCTTGCTGCCCAAAACGGTCATCCAAAAGTAGACGAACGTCGGAGTAATCTGACTCAGCAACAGAAACGTGTGTCCATCCTGGTCCAAGATTCCGGTTGGAATTGACAATCCGGCTTCACCTGGAGAAAAATTAATATCTTATCTCATACACTGTTAGAAATTCGGTATAGTCAGACAGGTATTAATTATATTTACACTTTACTACTTTTAAAGCGTGAAAGTTGCTAAGTAAAATTACTTATATTGGTCCTAAAAAATTAGTCATGATATCGCTTGGTATTACATTTAGTACTGGATTTCTAAGATTGTACACGGGTTAAAGATTAACTGAGATATTTACCAAATAGATCTGTCGCCGTTGGTACTTTCAACGTGAAACATTGGGATGGTGGTGTTAGGCATTTGTGACGCTCTTGTAAATGTTTCGAGTACTCTTTAAGAGGCACTTTTACATCTTTGCAACGTTCAGTTTTCCACTCGGTGCAAAGTATGTCGCTGAATATTAAGGAAATCCGTTAGGTTAATTATATTGCATAAATTTAAAAGAAAATGTCTCTCGACATATTTATGTACCGAAAGTAGCAGTGGTTTTGGAAATGATTTTTCATTTCTGATGCAGCAATGACTTCATTACAGCCAGAGTTTTGGTTTCGGCACGGCAATTTAAACTCGAACTGCACAACAGTTACATAAGTTTACATTGATTTATTGTTTGTAAATTTAAATTATTAACAATTAAAACCTGTCGGGACAGCCGTTCCGCGAAGGGCGACACATTTAAATCCGTCTGACACATGCCGCATTTTCTGACTTTGTCGACACAAATGCCGCAAATGATGTGACCATTGGCGCAGTTGTGGATTGGGGAGGCTGGCTCGTCGAGACAAATCGTGCAATCCATGAGGTCCCCCAAATCTCGGAGGGCACGCGGTTGTGCCATTTTAAAATTAGTATTTATGTATTTAATTGTATAACTCGAAAATAAATTTTTAGATTAAAATTTGGAAATTGAGGTGACTGGATGAATGTATTTCTTGCTACTACTGCGAGGACTCTACTCATACATAACTAAGCCTCAGAACTTGGCGTCCTACTGGAAGAACTTTTTAGAAACTCGTAACTTTATGTAGAGTTCCTAAAAAAGGTGCATTCTAAAAATAGCAAACGTACACTGCCCTGCAAAAGTCTTCGCCAAACATTGACACAGTGATAACTCAAACAATTGGTGACATAACAATTTGAAATTTTGCAGGGTTATAGTGAATCGCATTTCTGATGAGATAGGACTCCAAATTTTGAACATTGATGACCAGGTCAAAGGTTATGATCTTTTGACCTCAAACCCCAAAAGTGACCTACCTCAAGGAATTTTTTGCCTTGGTGTTTTTATTTTTATAAAGTTGGCATAACTCGTCCTGAACATTTTGATATGTTGATCACCTCTGTGCGATTTTTTTACGCCCACGAGAATTTTTTGAAAAATGTAGTTTTGAAAAGTTATAACATTGAGCTTATGGGGGAAAACTTAAAAACTAGTCAAAACTACATTTTTCAAAAAATTCTCGTGGGCGTAAAAAAAATCGCACAGAGGTGATCAACATATCAAAATGTTCAGGACGAGTTATGCCAACTTTTTAAAAATAAAAACACCAAGGAAAAAAATTCCTTGAGGTAGGTCACTTTTGGGGTTTGAGGTCAAAAGATCATAACCTTTGACCTGGTCATCAATGTTCAAAATTTGGAGTCCTGTCTCATCAGAAATGCGATTCACTATAACCCTGCAAAATTTCAAATTGTTATGTCACCAATTGTTTGAGCTATCACTGTGTCAATGTTTGGCGAAGACTTTTGCAGGGCAGTGTATGTAAGTACATTTGTAACTGAAGAGGTGAAAAAGTGCTAGCTTGGGAGCACACACAAAACATGCATATTTACATAATCTATAGTATACTATAGCGCTCAGTGGCCACGGAAGTGTGGGGACAAGAGGGACAATGTCCCCACAGTTATTCAATGTTCCCATCATCTGCAAACCTCAAATATTTAGAACTTAAAACTTACTTAGTCTAGAAATAAAAGAACGAAAACCTGTTGCCATGGATACGATGAATTTAGAAAGCATGCATAAGTAGATACTAGATAAAATCCAAAAAATATTTTACAAAATATAAGTTAAAACTGAAAAAGACGTTATAGAAGGGCATATAAATATGTACGAATGCATACTTCAGTTTAGCCTCATGACTAATCATTGACCCCCATTTTTGGGGGTTTCTCGAGGTTACTTATTTGCCTCACTTAAGAATAACATATTTCAAAATTTAGCCTTTTGAAGCATTAATTTTTTACACTTTCTTTCTCCACTAACCTAAAAAGTTCGTTAGTTTAAGCTGACGATCCAAAAAGTCTTGAAGACGTGGCCTCGTTATATCAATTAATAATTTTAGTAATTTTGACACGACAGAGAGTTTGAAATAAAATAAAGTAAATTTAGCATAAACAATAAAAAAGGTCAAAAATTGTAATATAAAATTACTTATCCTTAGTGAATTAGTTAGTTGAGTGGAAAAAAACATTTACTTTTTTGCGGAGGCAAAGACATTATGATAACTAAATATGGTACAGATCGATAAATTATGATACGATTAGCAACCTATTTTCAACTATTCTTGGTTTCCTTTGGTGAATTATTTAGCCGTGTTTTATAACTTTTTTTAATGTGATGCATCTATATTATAATTTTCAAAATATTCACATCCGCATTACTCCTAAACTTGTGTAGTGTTTCTTGAGCTAGACAAAATTCAAAATAATTTATAATTGAACATTCAATGTTAAGTAGGCAATTCCGTCCCAAAAAAAGCCAGGGTTCCTTTAGCCCGACAGATTTAATGTGGTAACTTTTTATAAAGCCCGCCCCCTCGACGGGCCTGCTTGCTCGTATAAACGCATAATTTAATTATTTTTCAGCTCCAATTTTAAGTTGATATTACTGACGCAAAAAGCACAATAGTTAACTAAATAAAAAGAAAACTCTGCACGATATTCTATTCATATATCTGTTTTGCTATGATCTGACTTCAAAAACCAGTTTCTGTGGCCATAGTAACGTCCACCATAAGAACGGCAACACTAACATGCCACCACTGGGACGCGAACCTCCCCTGCACCCTCAAATTTTCGGAGTGCTATCAGCCTACTCGAGAGTATTGGAGAGGAGCATATTTTATGGAAAATGTCCCCTTCATTTTGACAAAAAGGTTGGATTTTTTCTCATAAAGTTACACTTTCGAGGCTACGTGACATACTATACACGACAGCTTATCGCTCAAACAACGTTCATTTTGCCCGCGGTGTTTGTAGTTGCGCGGTATTTAGTGAATTTAGCGACGAATCGATGCCAGGACAACAACGTGCCTGGTTTTGTGGTCGTGGTCAATACCGCGGCACTGATTCTTGCAGTGGCCCTGGTAATGCTTTTTGTTCCGCTCGTATTCTTTCGAGCTACCATACTACTAGCGGAAAAGCACTTCTACTGGCTTCTAAAAAGGCTGGAGGAACGTAAGAATTTTAACCGTGTAAATTATTTTGAGCGTACTCATGAGTCATGACAACGAATGACTTCGCATCTCATTTATGTAGCAAACTTGCAAAGATAAAAAAGCTTATGTTGTGAGGGGATTCGCAAAATATTATGTCGCAGATCTCACAAATTTACTTCTAAAACACGTATTTCGATGCTGCTTCCATGGATTTCTTTAATTTCTCTCGCTGGGGATGGTGAGGATGAGTTTGCGAAATATGAACCAAATTCCCCAATTGTTTGGTAAATTTAAATTTGCGGAAAAAAATCCCGTGATTTTCCAGCAAAAACTTCGGAAGTTACAGAAATGCGAATGTTGACATGAGTCCGCCCTTTAAAAAATTGTTGACTCACATACATAAACGAGTGAAAATATTTTGATTTGATGATGCACAGATTGTCCCTCAAAAGGGAATGGATATTCCATAAGTACGAAAATTCAGGGCGTGGCCACCTCAATATTCAACCTGTATCGGTGGGCGCCACTGTTTCTTGCTTTGATCGGGGTCTTGTTTAAATTGGATGCTGTCTTTTACATGCTGAGTGAATTGCGCATTTCTCCCAGCACCTGGACAGCCCTCGCGTTTCGACTTGTTTCACTTGGTTTCGGACTGTATGAGATCTGTCGACTAATTTGCATCCTGATTGCCCTCCTCTTATTCTCATTTAACGTTCTACTAAGGATGGTCCACATGTGGAGTAACATTTCAACAAGGAATTCCGTTAGAGTGGAATTTTACCGCCAAATTGCAGTAATTATGAAAACATTCAGAGAATATTTAATACTCGCGGCAACACTGGGGATCTTCGTTGGGTTTATGATGCAGGTAAATAATAAATTAATGATAACCTTTTACAAATAAACGCAAACAACAATGGTGCAAACAATCATTTGGAAGAAATAACGGCAAGGAAGTGGCTTCTTGCTGGCATTTTGACTTGGAAAATAAAAGATTTTTTTCACGTTCTTGCACCTTACATTCTCGCGTTTCCTGCTTTGCAGTCCAAGAACTGTAGAAATTTCAACTACATTTTATGGACTACAAACCTGCAGGAACCGAAACAATGTTAATGAATGTACGGGCACCTTGAGAAATTTGTTTATATACTTATTTCAATTTGTACATACATACAGATCGCTTTTAATTACGCCACCGTGACCTGTTTCGACTTGCTGTCATTTCCTTATTATCATGTGATCCCTTATATCGCCATCGTTCTGGGGTTAATGGTGATGTCTTTCCTCCACGTGGCGGCCACGATTCATCAAACCTTTCACGAAAAGCTGCAAGTGCTCAGGGGGATGTGCAGGTCGAGAGAAAGGGCCAGATTTAAGGAGCTACGAGCCTTGAAAATCATCGCATTCGAAGTTATGCTAGGATCGAGGGCAAAACCGATCGAGAAGGAGTTTAAGATAGCGTATCTAGATAACGTTTTGCAGTATACGGTCACATTAATTGAGCTTTTCGGGCAGGATGTTTCATCTTACTTAATTGTAGACTAACCGCGGAAAATAATGACACGAAAGGTTTGGGCAAAAAATAATAATTCGAATATCTGTTTCAATCCCTTCTTTTACAAAAGTCTAAATATAACACGATAATTTAACGTCTGAATTTTGTACAAATACTTGATTTTCACGTGCGAAATAATGCCTGTGAATAATTCGTACACGGTACAATCAATATTTTTTAAGCATTCCTGGACCAAACGGATTTTTCCGTAATCATCTCAAACTAAATTTTGCAGCTTCGTAATAAACCAATGATAACAACGTAACTTTATATGGAATCGACTCCACCGAAACTAATTTCTGTTAAACATTTCATATTCGTATGCAAATGTACATAATTATTGCCTGGTGTTCACAAGATAAATATAAGTATATACTGATTAGCAAATAAGTAATCAAGCACAAGGTAATAAATCGTTACTGAAAGTAAGTATGGTTATTTAAGTTTAAACTTGACGCTTTCCTGATAAGATATCATAAAGGGTTGAGTGATGCTTAATTGAATAAATATTTATAGCAAATTATTTTATGTAACACAGACCTTTCTGTGTACAGGTGTCGTTCACATTGACGAACAAAGCTCTGCATATTGAAAGTCGCATAATTTTGTTAAAAATTATCAAAAAGTGGTTGCAGGTTATTCATTACAGAAAATCCTGGTAAGTTCAGCATATGTATGTAAATAAGTTTGCACATTAATTGCATCGAAAGGATAAAACACACGTGGCGGACTTGCTTTTACATATGCATTTAAATGTGTATGTGTATTACAGAAAACACTGCCTAAAAAATTGTCATTTTTTTACTTAGAAGAGTAAAATTTATTCATAAATTCCGCACCGTTATATTAAAGGCAGTTTCAATTTCGTTATACATACATATTCACCCTAAAATAATCTCTTAGGAAGTTATTTTTATTGAAATGAGTTAATAAACTTGCCAACCCAGTTGAATGATTTGACCGAGCTACAGAGATATCACAGAATATAGATTCTACCAGAAGAATCGATCTTATGTATTCGAGTGAGGCTTATGGAAGAACGGGGAGAGCCAACCAAATAACTCGGTGTACATTTGGCCCACCTGGGGGATGGCACCTCCGCATCATCATCGTCACCACATCTCCTGGCATCAAGAAATGATGATGAAAGCACATAGGTGGCGGTGGCACCCCCATTTGTGCACCAGAACACACCCTCGTAGAGCATCAAATTTGTGGAGACGCAGCTCAGAATGGTGTGTTCTGGTGCACAAATGGGGGTGCCACCGCCACCTATGCGCTTTCATCATCATTTTTTGATGCCAGGAGATGTGGTGATGATGATGATGCGGAGGTGCCGTCCCCCAGGTGGGCCAAATGTACACCGAGTTATTTGGTTGGCTCTCCCCGTTCTTCCATAAGCGTCACTCGAATACATAAGATCGATTCTTCTGGTAGAATCTATATTCTGTGCAGAGATATATGCAATTAATGTGTACTTATTACCGTCCGGTTTCAGCATTAATTAATTTTTTGTCAACTGCCGGGCCCATCAGCAAAAAATTTGAATGATGTATAAATTATTGTTCGCGTTCCCTGTAATAAATTATTGATCATAAAGAGTTACAATACCAAAAACAGTTGAGAGTTAATGATAGAAATAAATCAGTAGCATGTACAGATTTTATGTATGTACATGTGCATGTAGAAACAGATTATATAATAAGGCAATTCACGCAACTGGTAATTTTTAAAATCTGAAAGTTTTGTGAAATCATTTTACAAACTTTTACAAAATATGAAGACATCCTTAATCTGTAAGGTTACAAAAATTTGTAAGCTAATTTACCTTAGAAATATTTATAAAATTTTGTAAAAGTTCACAGAACTTACGGATTTTACAATGTTACGAAGGACTGTTGACTGTGTGAATTGCCTCAATTTAAATAATTATGTATGCATGTGTGTTTTGTACAACTGATTATTTTGGTGAAGTGTTTTTTTGCATAACTTTCACTCATTGCATAACTTTAAAAAACTCGTGTCAATCAGAGAGTTATAAACCTGCCCGTCGCTTTAGTGTATTGTGTTGAGATAACGAATGCAAAATGTTATAAATACATTTAATTTGTAAATTGTTCAACACGTTTTCGTACTGCTGACAGTTAATTAATTATGTACGTATGCGATTGAACTGACAGCTTTACAACTGCATATGTACATATGTAAATGTGTAAAACGAATGAAATAAGGTATATATACATTATCTATTTCATTCGTGGTTCTGATACATTGATCAGTGATTATTGAATATGCATACTAAATGTGCATACATAATTTTTTTATCGTAATTGAATAAAATTAGTGAAACTCAGAAAAATGTGGTACTTAAGAGGAAACATTACATGACTTTTAAATATGCTTAAGCATCATGAAGATAAATTTAGATAAATTTACATACACAACTAAAACCTTGAAAATCGAAGAATTTTTCACACCTTTTAGTGGGTATGGCGGTCGCAAATAGCCTTTAATCCTTCTACAATTTTTGTATAGTCATAGAGACCCGTAACATACTTTTTTTGGTCTAATTTCAGTAATTAACTCCCAACGATGGATGAAGACGGCAAGGTCAAGAAAGTTGACACCTCGGAAGAAGCCATAGATAGCACGATGACTCAAAAACAGAGTGACTTTTTTCTAAAATTCTTCATCTGCATGACCCAATCGCAACTGGAATTTCCCACCAATTTGTACGCCCTGACGAACATTCTACGCCCTTACGACCTAGCCCTTTCCGACACGATTGACAACAACGCGTGGGACTCCTTAATTTCCTGCCTCCTCCAACAAGCCACGCAAGACTTTGTCCAAGACAATTTCAACGAACTCCTCCCCCTCGATCCAAACGAGTCGGCGCAACTGGAAATTGAGCTGAACCGATTGAAACGAATTTCTGGTGAGATGACCCACACCGAGATATTGGAAGCCCTCGGAGGAAAACGCCCCTCATTATGGGAACACATTGAGGCAGCCATGACCAAAATAAATGCCACGTTTGGAGTCAACCTAAAATTGATGTTGTTTGATGGAAGTGAAGAATCAAAGGCGGAATTGGCGAGAATTGAAAAATTACTAAAAATTGAAGAGAAAGTGGATAAGGGTGACGCTCCAGGTGATGATAAACTAGGCGGAGAAATCAAATCGAACGAAATTCAAGAAAATTCTATTGGTGATGGAAAAGACACAAAAATTGATGATCAGGAACTAACTAAAACTAAAATTTCGCCCCCAAAATCTGACATGGCAGACAAACCATTAATTGATGAAGATGATAACGCCAAGAAACTAGAACCTGCCCAAGCAAAAACCCCTGAAATGAGGAAAATTTCCGAACAATACGTCACCGTATGGTTCGACCCCGTAGGAAAACTCTTCCACAACATAATTCTACGGGAATTGCTCTACGAAAACGTGGAAGAGTTCTGCGACGCCTTACTTGAAGACATCGTAACCCACGAAGAGGTACAAAACTACCACTTGCAAACCATGGAACCCTTCCCGATTGCCGATATCGTGCCGCATATTCAACAACGACTCGGGCTTCTGGCTAAAATCGAGTCAATCTCCGACCTGATAAGTGTCGCCTTACCGGATGCTGATCCCGAACATGTCTCATCCTTGAAAAAATTGGCCCAGCGAGAATCCCAAGTTACCCCAGACAGTCGGACGACATCTCTCCTTTACCGGTGCAAACAGCAGTACGCCTTCGGCATGAAGAAAGCATCCGACCTAATCTTTCAAAGCCACTCGGCCCAGCATAGGGACAAGTTGAGACAAATTATCGAAAAGGAGGAGGACATGGTGCGCGAAAGCGATCGCTTGATGGACGAACAGATCGCGGCGGAAGAAGAGAAAGCGAAACGGGAACAGGAAATTCGCGACTTGGAAAAACTTATCGCGCAAAAAACCGGGGACAGAAGCGACCTTTTGGCCCTCATTGAGCAAAAGAAGGCCGAATTGGCTAAGACGGCGGAAAATTTGGAAATTGCGGCGGGTCGGTTGGATTACAACCAGTTTCGGAAAGGTTTAAGTGAGGCGGAACCCTCGTACGAGGTCTCGATGCTAAATGTGGAAATATCCAATTTTAAGAAACTTACCACCCTGCGTGACCTAGTTTCCTACATTTATTCCGTCTATAACAAAATAGCGCGACCCAAGAATGCCAACCTCTTCTGGAAGTATGTCGCTGCCAATGATACCTTATCCAATAGGAACGAGCTTATCGAAATAATCGCGACCTGTTTGCAAGACCCGGCAAGAATTGTGCCAAACAAGGAAGACTTTTCCATCCTGGAAATTACTGGGCGGCAGATCGTGACGAGCCAGATTTTGGGGCAAATCAAGGATAAAACATTCCGCGAATTGAGACTCGTCGCTGGCAGTATAATTTATGTTGATTCAAATTTCGAAAATGGCACCTGGCACGGAAAGAATTTAGTAATTAGTAGCCCCGTTGTGGAAATTAAGGGCAATGTAAGCATAGATTTGTCCGGGTTGCCTGCCCCGGCCGTATTTTCGTCACAAGCTGTAACAGCGAACCCTGGTGGTCAACAACTTAGAGGCATCTTTGGAATGCTAGCTGGAGACCCTTTGGCCGGCCGGTCGGGGATGGATGGACAGGATGGCGCTCCGGGTGAAAGCTCGGGACACTTTATGCTTCAAGCGGACGTCGTGCGAAATGGGGGCAACCTCAACGTTGTGGCGTCCGGAGGGCAAGGTGATGACCAAAATTTAAATTTCGCGAAAATTGCGAAAAATTTTCGCAATTTTCGCGATTTTAGCCGAAAATTATTACTGTATGAAATTTGTACTAAAAATAGGCGCCTCTGGACAGTCTGGTGAACACGGGCGAAACGGACGACACGGCTACAATGGACACAATCCAGATTTTGGTCATCCAACGGAAGGAGGTGATTTCAAGGCGGGAGTTAAGTTCGAAGCGGGATCGTACGGCACGCCTGGACAGCGGGGAGGAAATGGGGGAAGGGCGGGATTAGGTACACATGTCGTATTTTGGCTTCTTATAATAGCTTGTATTGACAAGTACTTACCTACATATAACCTGAAAATCATGGCTAGTAAACATATCGCGAGAGGGAAAATGTTGTAGTTCATCGATAAGTACAATTTTGAGGTATCTAACTTTATATGGATGCTCTAAATAATTTGGAACAAATGTGCTCTATTTTTGGGTTTTTATTTAAAAAACTTAGGGGCCGTCCATAAATTAGAGTAGATTAGGGTCAGGGTAGCGTTCAAATTCTTGAAGTTCTTCTATCAATACAAATATCTAATCAGAGTCCACTTTCACAGGTGGTGAGGGCGGTCATAAAGGCAACCTTTCACTCCCTAAAATTTCCCATAATATCAAGCTAATGTCCAAGGTTGGCACGAATGGGCAGGACGGCCGGCAAGGAGGAGGAGGTTCCGGTGGCCAAGGCGGATACGATGGTGTCGACATCATGTGAGCCATATTTACATCTTTAATATTTCTTAGTTAATCTATTAGCACAATTTATTAATCCATCTCTGTACAGTTGGTATTGGATTGGTGGCAGACTTATCGGAGAATGGCACTGCAAACGGGGGAAGGTTCGCGTCTATCGTAGATACATTAAAGGTGATATTAAATCTTTTTTGTAATCGTGGCGACGAGCTCATTACTGGAATAATTTTTAAGGCATTACCGGAGGGTTATGGGGGTGGTGGATCGAAATGTCCAAGAACGAACAGGAAGCCCGCGCCAGCAAACAACTAGACGGAAATCGTGGTAATGATGGCGCCACTGCGCAGCAACGTTCGAACCAGCGGCGTACCGCCAGCGCGAAACAGGAAATAAACAAAGCCCAGGTTTCCATCTTATCATCCACGATTCGAAGCATGTACGGAACTTCGGCCGCCATTCAGGAAGCCGTTACTTCCTCGGAAAATGAAAAACGTTCCCTCGAACAAACTCAGAGAAATTTAAATCAGCAAAAGAATACCGCCACAGCGTCCGCGAAACGTCTCGAGGAAGAAATCAAGGCCGCCAATGAATCCAAAGACGCCGCCGAAAATGCCAAAGCTCAGCTGGAAGAAATGTTGCGGATCAATTTAGAAAATCAGAAACAACTTGACGCTGCAATGAAGCAAGTGGCGGCTGAAAAACATGAGCTTGCTGAAAATACGAGAAAAGAGGCCCTCATCTCAGAAGGTGTGGGGCAACAAGTTTCCTCAATTTTCGAACAACACTCCCGCGAACAGGTTCTACAAATGAGACAAAATTCCGAACAAGTTCAGCAAACGAGTCTAGTCAAGGATTACGTTCCCCCAGAATCTTCAGAAGACTTGGACACTAAAGAAATCCACTTTCGGACGACGCATCACCCTGAAATCGAATCGCTCTACGACGAAGTTCGCCTTGTCAAGAACGTTCATAAACTTAGCGATGAATTTTTCGCTATTGCAATCGCAGCCAGGTCGAAGGATCCTGGGCAAGGCGGGGCATTTGAACTTGGTCTCCAGTCAATTAAATCATTCACCAAGGAAAACAAGCTCCCGCTCTATATCCGACAATATCTCGATTTTCAGAGCATCAAACTGGCAAAAAAGGATTCAACTACAACCTTACTAGTCGAATATTTGAGAGACCAGCTCCCACAAGATGTCAAGGTCACGCTTCAAACTCAAGACTGGCTGAAAACCAATATCCAACTACGAACCAAGATATTCAAGAGTGTCAACTACGTGGGCGATTCGGTCGGAGAATTTCTTTTCCGTTTAAGAAAACATGACGAAAAGAACGACATTGTTGCCATTGAAGCCGAAATGCACGCCATTATGAAGACCTTACCACTTTCGAGTAAAGGGCGCATCCTCCTCGACCATATTTGCACCATTGTCTACCACCACTTGGAAAATTGGTTTATTTCCGAAGTCAAAAACTCACTCCCTGAAAAAGCCGAGCTGGACACAAGATTCAAAACCTTTGCAAATTTCGTGGACGATTTTTACCGTGAGTTGAGATCCGTTCACGCAAAAGTTGGCCTTCTCCGAACATACGAAGTCTGCTTGGCGGAAATAATGAAGCCAGAATTCAATACAGTGTCAGGGTTTGAAATATTTTGGGAGCGCGCCGCTCTAATTTTACTCGATATGGGGGGTAATGATAAAAAAGATGGGTGTTTCTGCATCTGGAAAAATCTCAACCTTCTCACCGAAATGTTACGAGGGGGGTCAAAATCAAAGCCAAAAATTGAAAAGTTGAATATCATTCCAAAATTAATTTTTATTACGGACTACGTGAAACTCACGTGTGCACAGGTTTCTTCCCTAGTCGAGAAATGTGACTTGATCCTCGCTGCCTCCCACGGCCCCGGATTGCTACCAATTTACGACAAAATTTTGGAACTAAAGCATAAATTTTACTCCAGATATGTGGACACAATCCAAAAACCAGCTCTATCCAGGATCACAGCTTTTACCGATGGAATTGGTGACAAAGGCCAACAACGCGAAATTCACGCTCAAATCGAAGACGTAATTTCCAATATTATCGAGGCCAACGCATCCCCCTTGTCATTACAACATCGTCAACATTTTTACGAACGAATAGAAGAAAGCGTCCAATCCGTCGGGGATAAGAAGACGGGGGTAAATATTGTAATTAAAGATATCCATTCATCCGTCAGGTCCTTCAAACCCGCAAGTAATCTGGACAAACTTCAAGACATTGCATACATAATAACAAACGGAACCGATTTCCGGACAGACTTTAACCAAGCGCTATCCACTCTGACAAGTTATCTGGGAACTCAAAGTGAGACTAAACTAAGCCCAGAATTTATAATCGGGCTAAACTCGTGGCTAAAAGCTGTCACGATGTCCCTCCTACTTCTGCAAGATGGCGTTCAACTTGACGAATTAATCATGGTGGGGAAATCCATTGGAGATTTCATCCGAAAAAATTTATACCTCTCGAGTTACGGAAATTTCCTTATTCGCGACACAATTCGCGATCTGCAGCTCGTCTTGAGCAAGAAAATGACTTTATCCACGTTCCTAAAACAAAAGGAAGTTTACGAAAAGGGAGACAAATCTATCGACGAGTGTGTCGAATTGAAGGTACAAATTGTAAAGTTTGTCGAAAATTATCTCACCGCCTCGGACGAGGTTGTCGGGCTTGAAGAAATTACAGCCAGCGTGGATATGCATCTCGATAAGATATTCGTCGCCATGCTTCGTGAAGGAAAAGGAGACGAAGTTGCAGCGCTGTACAGTAGTATCTTGAACAAGCTTGAAGGAAGTAAATCTACTGCGGGAGAGTTTCTAGGAATTTTGGCAAACGTGATCAATGCAGCTACAACAAATGCGGTAACTTTAAAAATTTCCGCTCTATCCACTTCATCCTTTGTACAGGAATACAATCGTGACCCCTTTGATATTTCCAACTTTGAAAAGCTACTGAATCATTGTGTAACCAATATTTTGGCAACTCCATCCGATTTCACGCCAATCATAGAGTATTTGCTTCAAGCTTTTGTCGCGATGCAAGTTATGAATCCAAAAAATTATCAAATTTCAGCCCAATCCAATACAGAGTTTGAAAAGTTGTGCGAAATTCTGGCCAAGATTTTGTCAAGTTTGACTGATACGTTTGAAAAACATCAGTCTAATCTTTCTCTGGATGTCATGCACCATTTAGACAACTTGCAGAATCTCGTCGTATCAGTAGCAGAGAGGGATAATTCGACACTTGCAGAGTTTTTGAGAGAGAAATTAGAAGATTTCCAGGGAAAACGGGAAACAAATTTTAACAAAAAGCGCACCCAACTTTTGTCCAGGTTTGACGACCTGGTGCAAGTTTACTCAGACTCGGAACACGGAGTCTTATCATTTACCGGTGTCGCGGAAGTCTTCTTAACTGAAGGAATGGTCAAATTTGTAAAAATTTGCGGCACACTGAATAATATGACAGAAAAAGAAGGACATGAATTTGACCAACTCTATTTTGAAAGTCTACTTAAATATTTCAATCTTCAAGCCATCCCTACAATGCCGACAAATCTGAGGGCTGACGTTTTCCACCTCGTAGCCACAAAGGGGGCTACTCAACTTGGAAATGTGTTGAATACTTTTCACAGTCTGATAGAAGCACCTAGCCAAGAAACTGATTGGATAATGACATTTTTAATAATTTTGAACAAATTGATCGTCTCAATTCCGACGGAGAAAGTAACATGTGTTCAACTTGAAGGCACGCTTCACATGCTAGACAAATGCCACGGGGAGATTGAAAGGTCTGAATTAAAAAACAAATGCATCCCTCAGATCAACGACATACAGGCCTCCATCACGTCGTTGTCACGTCGCATTATTGCAACGAAGGGGGGCGATCCCTTGGCCGCTCTAATTTCGCAAGATGTCGACGTGTTGTCGTGCATTAGTCCAAATTTAGGTCAATGCTTGAAATTGCAGTGCAAATTATTCTCTCTTCTTGAAAACCACAGCTCTGCCAACATATTTAACTCGCATCTTCGAACCATTGTGGATGCTGCATTAAAATCAACACTGGGCGTAAATATACCGCCAGTAGGAGGGAACGAATGTCTCGTTGCACTAAGGGACTTAAAAAATCCGCATGTTTGGAAAAGTATCCTGGCCGTGGCGTCTATATCAGTGAAGATAAATTTGAATGAGTCCTCATTTCTTGGTCGGGTAGCGACTAGCGGATATTCGGCAACTTGGGAACCCTCAATCACCCAGATTAACGATTTGGTCGACTCATGCATTAAGACATCCTCGACAAACGACCTTGCTCCAGATGATGGAAATCGATTTATTTTTGCTTTCCTGGATGAAGACGTGACCGGCAGCTGCATCTTCTCTGACATTCTCACCTCTCACGAAAAACAGTGGATTGAACTCATATTCTCGTTCTCACATTCAAAGCAACATGGGCTCCTAAATGCTGCAATTTGTGACATCTTCGTTAACACAGGAGCTCCTGGATGGAATAATGAACTTGAATCGCTCGCTTATACTACACTTTTTGGAAAATTTGTGGCCGAATATAAACCCCTCTTTAGTGAAACTCTTGGACAAATCAAGCCCTCAGTAAGCGCCCAAAGTTTCAAAACCTTGCAGGAAGAGGTAACTATTTTCTTGCAAAGTCACAAAGAAGTTTTACGAAATCGAGAAGCACTCCAGCTCTCGTCGAGCAGCTTAATCGCGCACCGTCAAGCACAGGACGCTCAGGGAAATACGAGCCACGAAGTTCAAGAACATATATCAACGATAAAACATTTTGTGGAACAGTTTATCGTTCTAAAATATAATTTCAACCGATCCATCTTTTTTGCTGGGGCTGAAGGACATGGTTCCCTATGGTTTGAATGGATGCGGCTTCTTCATCAACGCTGTACCTTGAGGAAGCTTCCATTGCCGGAGTTTAATGCCCTCTTACAAAGATCGGTCGATCTACCTGTGCCAAAATTGGTTTCGCTAATTTCTCAAACTACAATGGAACACTGGCTGGAGACGATCTATTTCCATATAGCCGTGCAGAATTATATCACCTATTTAAATAACAAAGAGAAAGCATCGGTAGGGAAGACAATGGATGTGGAATCGAATGTGACAGAGATGACGACTCTTCTCAAAGCATTAAAACCAACGCCCTTCTTAAAAAGATTTCTTCTCATGCTGGGGGACAAAATCATGATGGAGATCCAACTAGCAGAAATAAGTGGAGCTACCCCTTTAGAATTGGACAAATTTGTCGCCGTCATTTCAGACCTTACTCGTATCGTCATTTCCGATAAGTTAATTGATAATTTAGAGAAGCATGGGATTTCCCAGTGGGCCATATCAGTTCGAGAACACGTTCTTCTGCAAATTTGGCCTCCACAGGTGGCCACAGTTATTCTAAAATTGGAAGGAACAATTGGAAAAGATATCGTTTCCGAGTTTGTTGGCCTGTTCGAGAAGAAATTCCCTGGGAAGCATGAGGTATTAGTAACCTTGTTGGAGAAATTTGTTAGCCGCCGACTAATTCTGGACGAGGAGATGATAATATCATTTAAAAGAAAGACTATTCCTTCCACAACTCTGCCAGATTGGGAAAGTTGGCTTGCCGCGCATGCAGTCGAGATCAACAAAAGGTTTCGCGATGTCCACGAACTGGCGAGACTGATGAGGAACGACGAAAAGAATCAAGACATTAAACTAATGCTAAACCCACAAGGGGACACTTGTAAAATGGAAGTGATCGTAGTTAAAGTAAACGCTCTTTTAGACCAAGTTTGCAAAATCGCTCCACCTATCCTTACACCGATAGGGACTTGGCAAACGGAACAAATCATCAATTGGGCAGTAACTATTCGCTCCTTCTCTGAGCAAGAGAGAAGACAAATCGTGGAAAAAAATAAGACCGAGGTTCTCGCCGTACTTTGCCAAGCTTTAAGGGTGTTTACGAGTAAGACGAATCCCACTACGGGGTCACTTGAGAAACCCGGATTTCTGCCACGTGACACCCAACTTGCCTCTGTTATCCTACTAATCGACGCATTCTATGCAAGGATGGGTCGTCTTGCGGAAATATCTACAGGTACATACATGCATGCAATTATACAGTAGTATCCAAGTTATTTAAGATTGTACATAACTTTTTAGTACATCCTGATCTTATACTAATAAATACATAGGTGAAGGGAAGACTTTCATTACCGCTATGATGGCTACCTTTCACGCCTTGGCGGGTGACGACGTTGACGTTATCACAAGCTCACCCATTCTAGCTGTGGAAAATGTGAGGGAAGTAACCGGCTACTTTAGCCTATTTGGTATCTCGGTTACCAACAATTGTGATAAAGAGTGCGAGCAGCATGAAAGAGCTAGAAAGGAGAGGTACCAGTGCCAAGTCATTTATGGGGATGTCGGCTCCTTCCAGCGGGATATCCTTCTCACAAAACTCTTTGATAAAGGAATAACAATGAACAGAACGACGGAAACTGTCATAGTTGACGAGGTTGACAGCATGCTGTTGGACAAGGGTGAAAATATCCTCTATTTATCCCACTCAATTCCAGATTTGAAGCATTTGTGGCCTTTGATGATTGAAATTTGGCAAGCCACTCATGGGCCTGATGTATGCAAGATAACATAATATAGAAATGTTTTCGCTTTTAATTCTCTTAAAATCTATATTATTCCGTTTACAATCCCAAGGTTCTCCAAGGGCGTCGACAGGACATCTCTCTCGTTGTCTGTTTTATTAGGGAGCGAATGCGTTCAGGCGACATCTTCATGCCTAATCGATTACGCAACTTTGTGGAGCGAAGGCTCCCCATCTGGGTGAAAAATGCTTTCATCGCAGAACATCTGCTAGAAAATGATCCCTACATTGTCGCTGATCTTGACAAGCGGGGAACAAAGGTCATCATCGTGGACAAGGACACTGGTGTTGAACAGGTCCAAATGCACTGGAGCAATGGCCTACATCAGTTTCTGCAACTTAAACATGGCGACCGAGTCACTCCAGAAAGTCTCAAAGCTGTATTTATGTCGAATATCGGATACTTTCAACAATTTCGGGGTAGACTGTATGGAATCACCGGTACCCTGGGATCCTTCGCTGAACGACACTTACTAACTGAATGTTACGGAGTGGATTTTTTTAGTATGCCACGATTCAAGGCAAGTAAAGCGTATGAAGAGGATGGATTGATTGGAAGAACCAACAAAGAATGGCTGGATCTAATTTCGCAGGAAGTTCATCAAAAGACTAAAACTGATTCCAGAGCTGTGCTTATCATTTGCGAAAATGTCGCATCAGTTGATAAAATTGCTGAAAAATTGAAAGAGACTGTTTCTTCGGGGAAAATGTATTCGTACAAGAGCTCATTTGATGAAGAGTTTCACCGAAAAAATAGGAGTTCCCCTCTCTCTGCGGGCGATGTTATTATTGCGACCAATTTGGCGGGACGAGGTACCGATTTGAAGACTTCGCTCGAATTGGAGCAGGCAGGAGGACTACATGTCATCCTCTCTTACATGACTGGAAACATCCGAATTGAGGTCCAAGCATTTGGTCGAACAGCCCGAGCGGGGCTTAGCGGCACGGTTCAGTTCATCATACGAGACCCAACAGCTGACACTAAAAATCCCGTTACAATCGACCAACTTCGACAACTCCGTGATATGAAGGAAGCAGAAAGACTGGAGAACTTTCGAACCAAAAGCATGCAACGGATCGAAATTGAAGAGCACCTCTGTTCAAAATTCAATACATTATATGCAAACGTTGCTACATATTTAAAATCATCTGGACTCCCGCAAGAATACAAGGACTTGCAGTTGGAGTTTTTAAAGAACCAATGGGCCCTATGGTTAGATTCGATATCTGAACAGATCAAAATTTTACACATCACGGGGAGGAGTCGAATCCTTGAGCAGTTTTCCGATTTTGAAAGGACTGCTATGACCAATATATCCAGATTTGGTTCATTCGCCACAGGTGCGCTTGAGCACACCAAGCTAGGTCGATACTACCAATCAAAGGAAGAGTACGGTAGGGCAATATCCTGTTTTGACATGGCTATCAATTCGGAACCTAACTACGCCGAGATATCGCACTATTACAAGGCCGCCTGTATACTGAAGGAGAACATGAGCGGAATGACACACAAGAGGAGGGCTATTTACCACCTCAAATCTTCAGAAAGCGTAATTCGGAAAAGAATCGCACAAGTCATGACGGCTAGTCAAACTCTTGATGTGACGTCTAGCATACGCCGAGAAGCAGGAGTCGGCACAGGCAGCAATCGATTCGAAAAGCAAGTCAAGAGTGAGTCTGAACTTTATCAAGTACATGTTGGGAAAATCCAAGAAGCAATTGGAAGCACTGTGGATGCTAAATTTTTCGAAAATATAACTGGTGTTAATTCTGAGCAAGAGGGTGAAGAAATCTTCGCCTGCCTTAGAAGACACTATAACATTGTGAAATCATTCCGCCTAAGCAGAAAAATTAGGATTGGTGGAGACAACAAAATATACATTCCAGATGGAGCCACAGGACAGCCAATTGAGGTGGAGTGGCCAAATGCTTTCCGCTACTGTAGAGATGAAATTGTCAACTTTCTTCGTGAAAGATTGGGTATGAATGGGAGCAGTCGCGTTATCGAGCCAGAAGGGTTTTCGTACTTTATCCAGACCCAGACCAGCTTTTGGACCATGTTGGGAGGCTATGGCTTCTTCGAGAACGAGGTGCAAGCCAGAATTCAAATGGTGAACGAGAATCTAGATGGGTTGGTCGTTCCTGAGCGACTAATGGATTACAAAAATTCTCTTACGAAAATATTGGGTGGGAAAAGTAATCAAGCTTTCAGTCCGGATATGTTATCTCCATTGGGTCTTATGGCGAACGACTTGCAGGAAGTAATCGACGCATTAGTCAAGGTTGGAATTCTCGTTTGGAAAACCACCTACTCAGCCAAGTTAAGTTCCGCTATGAAAGACAAGCTCAAGTGGAACGCAACTAAGGGGAAATTCGAAGGGATTCCCGCAGCTCTTCAAAAATACGAGGATATCATTCAAGCCATCATTGAGGATGCACCATCTTCCGAGGATGACTATGTAAATCCAGATAAATCAACACCTTCTTTGAAACTTGAATTGTCCTTGACCGATATCCCGCTACCTGACACCGCTCAGTTTGGAAGTCGCCAACTCTGGGGTGCGCTGAACGAGTCGGGCGTAATTAAGGATTGTAAAGTCAACTTTCAAACCAGACTGGCCGACAACTCGGGCAGGATATCAGATCGCTTAGAAGAAATTCAAGAAGCAATTGAAGATCTTCCAGAGTTGAAACAGATTTACAAGCGCTATAACGGTTCGGGAGATTCTCCGAGTATCGATGATGTCATGGAAGCCATCAAAACTACAATCGGAAACATCAAGATATTTCCCGACATTTCTGTCGATTATCAAAAATTGGAGGAATATTTTAGAACTGGTGAATATCCACCAGAAATTGAAGAATTTCGGTACATGGTTTTCCTCCAAGTGCTTGAATGCACAGAGTACAAGTCATGGTGGGATTGGGGTGCATTTATCGTAGCAATGTTGGGAGTAGCTCAAATTATTGCGGGTAATTGAAAATACTTACAAATGCATGCATTGGTAGGATGAAAATGGTTGAATGTTTACCATTTCCTTTCAGGAGTTCTACTCGAAGTTTTCACAGCCGGAATAGGCACCTATATTGCTGGCGCATTAATCAGTGAGGGGGTTGGGGATATCGCATTCGCCATCGAGGCTGGCCTCAGTAAAAACTTTAGCTGGAAAAGCTACCGTGATCATAAAATTATCAGCGTCTGTATATCAATCGTAACTTGCGGAGTGGGGGCATGGTAAGGATTATGTACAATTGTTTGTCTCTTAAAATTTCGGGATTTTGAACAATTTTTTTCATTAAAGTTATCCCATCGTTTCAATGAAAATGCAGATAGCTAATTGTTTTCATCCGATGCTTCCAGGTTGTCCAAAGGTGCGCAAGTGTCCAGATTCGCCGGAAAAGCAGGATTTCAACTATTTAAAGCCGTAGCACTCCGAGTCATTAAGAAAGCCGGGCAAGCCGTCCTCTTCAAACTGATCGATATCGGCATTGACAAGTTGCTCGAACACATTCAAACCCAAGCAATAAAAAATTGCGGATCACAACTGGAATCATTGTTCCTTTCTGACCCTGGAATTAAGTCACAATTAGCAGAACTCCAACACAAAATGGACTTCGTCTATCAACACAGTTACGAACCTGGTCAGGCTGAGAAAGTTATCCGTGATGGACTCACCCGCGTCCTTGCCGACATGCAGGGGGAAGGATTTGGCGTGAAAATGGGGGAAATTGCGTCTAAAGTAACCTCCGGAATGGCCAGCGCTATCGGAAAAGCGAGTGGAAAGCTACTCACGCATGGAAAGAGGGTTGCCGAAAATATGGAAAGTGGCAACAGTTTTCTCTCCAAGGCAGCCAAACTTGCCCAAATTGCTGAAGTGATTGATAAAGTGATCAAGGGGGGAGAAATTGCAAAACAGCTCTTGGAATTGGTCAACCTTGCCCCGCAGGTGTTAACCAGGCTTTGCCGTCATTTGGAAATGCAGGGGATTAACTTGAAAACTGTGGGAAAAGATAAAATCAAAAATAGGAACGACTCGGGACAATTTGTCCAATTCAAGAGTGAGTTTACTAAATCAACTAAAGATGAGTTGGTCAAGATGCTCCTTTCCAAGGTGAATAGTGGCCTGGTCGCCCCCGCATTCCAGGATTTGACACAAAGCGCGCTGAAAAAAGCGGGCAAAGCGGTTGAGAAAAATACGAAGGCTATCCTCCACTCCCTTCGAACACCGAAGGAGGAAGAGATTAAAATTCTGAAGACGTTGCGAAGGCGAGAGGCGCTTAACGAACCGGAAATTGCGGGGAAAATTAAGGGCAAAATTTATTTAGAGGAACTAGATCCTGCAACCCCGATCAAAAATGCGGACGGAAAATCAATCCAACAATTACGTGAATGCTATGGAGACTCCATTTCCGTTTACAAGGATCAAATGGGAAAATTCCACGTGGAGCGGCCGTCCTTTGAAGATTCTATTAAGAATTTTGGTCAAGGAAGGAAGGCGGGATTTTACGAGTTAATGATATGTGCAAAGTACTACGGACAAACGGTGGAGATCTCCGATTTAAGCGGGGAACTTGAAACTAGTGGGACGGACGGGAAGGTGAGAATTCATCCGGATGGTACGCCCACCAAGGATCGCCCCCCACTGAGGATGGCTTATCAAAAGGGAGAAAACGGTTTCGGCTACTTTTCCCCAATCGTGAATGATGAAATCGTTCCGTTATCGAGAAGCAATTCAGACACGATCAACACCAACTTGTACCAATCCCTGAACTTTCTAGCGGGTGAGAAGAACGTTAAATTTCGGACGGAAGAGTGGGACAAATTGATGGTGGAAGCTTGCTCGAAGGATAAAGTTAAGGGATCCTTGGCGAATATTTCGAAATATGCGGGTGCCGACAAGACGGCAAAATTCCTATATGAAACGGGCGCCTATGAGGTTGGGAATGATAAATTGTGGCAAAAATCTAAAGCAGCAAAATTGACTGGAATTACGTCCCCGAGTCGATTTGATAGGAGGGCAAAATTACCAGGGTTGGACAACATGGACAATATGACGGTGCAGACTTGGAAAGGAAATTCGCTCGACATTGTTGTGGTAAAAATAAGAATGGGCGTACTCAGGTCAATCTTGGAATATATTTCGAAAATTGAGCATGGCAACATATTTATGTAACTTGCGAAGTTTTGCGAAAATTTGTGAGATCTCGTAGAAGTTTTTTTGGGAGAACTCTGGTATTTTTGTCGCAAATTGTCCCAGCAAATGGGCATGCTTTTATTTTGCAAAATTATTTCGCAACTAATCCTTCTCATCCCTAGCGAGAGAAATTACAGAAATCCATGGAAATATCAACAAAATATATGTTTTTGAAGTCAATTTGAAAGATTTGCCAAGCCATATTTTGCGAATCCCTTCACGAACTTTTAGAGCTTCGCAATTATCGCAAATTTGCCAAATGAGATTTGCAATGCGAAATGAAACGTTGTCGTGAGTACGCTCAATAAAAAGTTTTGTTTAGTCGAGCTTCCAAAATTTCACTATAAACGTACGAAACTAAATTGCAGGTCGGGGATACTTTCGCAGTTTTGGAGAAACCGACAACAATCGTGAAACAAGCGTCGTTCGAAATGCCAAACCTCGACCCTGCGATTGACGCTTACATTAAGGAGAGAGACGCGAAAATTGAGAAACGGTTAAATCGTGCTGTTTCCCAATATCTGAAGGCGAAATGGGAAACTCAGAGTGACATGAAATTTGGCGAGAGCAGAGTTCAATCCAGTGGGATGGATCATCCGGAATTAGAAAATCTGACTGGTTATCCAAGCTCTTTAGTGAGAGCGAGAACTTTGAGGGATTCTGCGCAGAATAATTTTGGAAGGATAGCTAGTAGCCGATTAAGTGATGATTTTAACCTTCCAGTCATGGAGTTTAAGGTGCATGGGAAGTCTACGGCTTGATTTGATGTAAAATTCCAAATGCAAACGAAAATGCAAATGCATTTTAAAATTTTGTAAAATTGAATATCCAGAAAGAAATACTGCAGAAAAATGTAGACCAGTTGTAAGTGTATTTATGTATGTTATGTTTCAATTTAAGGAGTTATTATGTATTGGAAATTTTCTGTAAAAATGTGCGTGACTCGCAAATAAAAGTAAACTCTTTGTCTGTTAATGCCAAGAATGACTCTCTTCATTTTCCTCAACACAGAAAAGTCACGACCTCCTACATATCTAGGTACGGATTTTAGCACAGATTTCGATCCGTGCTAATTTTCAAAATTGTGATTTCCGTAAGACATCGTGACTATTCTTTTGATAGTTTTCATCATAAGTTACCTAGTTTATAACTGTAAAAGAAGTCTAAAAGTTGTGAAATTGAAATTTTGTTTATTCTCTTTGTATGCAAAATGGATTTGAGGCATCCGACTTGCGAATTAAAAGGTTGCCCATGTACATACATATATATTTAAAAATGGATTATATGTATACATATAATAGTCGCAACTTTTATGGTAAATTAAATCTGCAATTACTCCGAATTACTTTCTTTATGCTTCATCTTCATTATGATTCTAAGGTCACCCCCCATTAGGCCCCGACAATCCAGGGAACTATAAGGACCAGAAATAGCATAAATAAATAAGAAATCAATTTTAAAATCCATACGCAAAATTAATAAACGTACTTCTTCTGCAAGTATCCCCCCTTGCAAAATTCAGTCTCGCTGACAAACTGTTCCCATTTCTTCTTACAGGATTCGTCATCACTGGGTGCTCGAGGGGCCTTGGTGTAATCCTTGGGACAAGAGTAGCCTTGAGCAACTTGACAATTAGCCATGTCAATTTGAAATCCGCAAAAATATTCGTCATTTTTGGACTGTTCTTTTGTACAGCGACACACCCTGACATCTTCCTCGCTGTAGACGCATGATGAGAGGAAGGCGATTAATATGACAACCGTGACTGATACGGATTTTGGCGTAGTCATGGTACTCTAATAAATAAGCATGTTTGGAAATAGTGACGCAATTCACGCAGTCATTGTCATTCATTGGTAATTTATAATTTGTAAATCCATTTTATCACATAAGTTTACAAACTTTGACAAAATAGAAAGACGTTCTTGACCAGAGTAGTTTACAGAAATGCGTAAACTAATTTTCCGTAGGAATTTGCAAAAAAGGTAAAAAGTTTGTAAAGTTATAGAATTTTCGGATTTTACAATGTTACCAAGGATTGCGTGAATTGCCTCAATAATTCAAATTTGCAAGTGGTGTTATTTTCAAGAACGGTTTAATCACTTGATAGATTTGGTTGACATTTGGCCGTCTATTTATGTACAAAACAAAATATTTATATATGTATTGTTTCATTGTTAAAATTTCGAGCTAGATATTTATTTATTTTGGTATATCCGTTCTGAGTACTAATTGTAAACACATACATTTGTATTTAGAATGGAGAGGAAGTAGTTTCTAATAAAATTATGATTGTCGTAAGATTTCTAAAACCTTAATCTTTTCGGCATTTACATATACATATATGTATGATTCCTTCGAAAGTTTGACAAGAAATTATTCGACCGTGAACCATAGTACAATTAACCACTACTTTTCATAGCCGTAATTTCCTCCTATTGTTTATTACCTTAGGAGGGGAGCTTGCGAGGTTGATAATAACAGATCTCGATGCCCTTTGGATATGTGATAGGGTCTCATGAGTGTACTAAAACCCTGAAGTGGTTTGACTCCATGGCCACATTTGCGCCCGCCACACCCACTCAAAAATGCCCAAAAAACGCTTTCACTCCAGTTTTCACTCACTCAAATCCACGTCAAAAATCCAATTTTACTCGGATTTTGAAATTTCTTTCATCATTACACTCCCAGATAGTTGCTTTCTTCAATCCAATATCAAACCCAATTTTTTCGAAATTTTTAGTACACTCATGAGACCCTATCACATATCCAAAGGGCATCGAGATCTGTTATTATCAACCTCGCAAGCTCCCCTCCTTAGTGATGTCACTAGTATTCATACATACACCTATGTACATAATTAGATTAAATATTACACATTTGGGTGTAATGTTAGGTGTAATTTACACCTAACTATGTAAATACTACGTAATGGCTTTTCTCGTGTCTTTTCTTAGATAAGGTAAATATCAGTAGTTCTGACTCCGCCTCATTTGTCAATGCTGATCATGGACTCTGGAAAGCGACGGTGGCGTGGGATATTTACAAGATCTAGAGTGGTAACATTACTGGACAAGAAATGTCCCCAGTTTTGCTGGCGATGCCGGTGACTACACTTTCCGCAGCCCATGATGATGATGATGTACAAATTCATATAGCTATGGATCCCTACCTAGATAGATATTTGTATAGATGAAATAAGTGTTAATGAGGGAACAAAAAACAGAATCATAGATTCTGATGTATGTACATATGTAACAACTCTTAGCAAAAATAAAGGTTTTAAAATTAACGCATAGTGTAAAAATTGTTCGTGCAGGGTTCAAGTTTTATTCAACAAATAATTAAGACCAGTTTTTAATTACAAAATTAATGACAATTAATCCGTGTGAAGGTTATTTCCAATAAGTTATGCCGGAGCATTCTGAATTTCCCATTGTTGTTTTACATCATTAATGTCGCAAGGAACAGTTTTAAGCCGAATTGAGGTTCTGAATTAAAAAATTACATTATTTTTGAGAAAAAGGTTTTTTACAAATATTAAGAATTATGGTACCCCATATGAACCAGGCATCGACTAGTCATCACATTTTTGATGGCGAAAGTATTTCCCGTGATGCGTACACCGGTCCATTTTTGATTTGGAATGATGGGTGCGTTCGGGTTGTGACCCTGTAACATCAATTATGCAAATTATATTTATAATATAATTAAGAACGTAGATGCAATAATAGATGTTACAGATTTTCAGATAAAAAGATATTTTGCATAATTTTTATCTTGGCAATTCTTACCCAAGTTGAGACATCCCAGTTTACAAAGTTTTGATCCATAACTTTAAGTTCGCCCCCGTTCTGACCCCACGTCCAAAGCAGGGAGCCTATCTTTTCGTCCAGGAATAAGTCTGGTGTAAGGAATATAAATCAATAATAAGATTAATTACATAATAATAAAATTAATAATTAGTTCGTTTAAAAGTTAATATAATCGTATTTAAGGAGGATTTTAATTATCAAGTTTACTAAATAGATCTTACTCCAATCCAATGTCCACTTTTGTTGCTCTACACTCGCATCGTTCTGCCAAACCGTAACGATCTGACCTTGGATCGGATTGTTGTCTTTGACATCAATACACTGAAATTTAGAGATTTATAGTGAGGTAAATTTTTCTATTTGCATGGAACGTAAATATCTTAAAATAGGTAGTCGGTTGTTTCATATTGAAGAGGGTACAGATATATGTCGATTAATTAAGTCGTAACCTTTGTAAAATTATTTATATCTTCCCAATACCTTCAAGAAATTTAAAAAATAGACGCCGTAATAAACCAGGTTTGTATCAGGTCAAATCTAAGTATAACTTAACCAGATATTCTTTCGGAAACTTTGCAAACTTGTGTAAAACTTGAGTTTAGGTAGCAAAGTCAAGTAATTTGCCCATTTAAAATTTTAACACGCGGCGCAAATACCTACATAAATTATCATCAAGACTTACTCCTCCATCGAATCGGCTCACAATCCTGACCCCCATCGTACCCGGGCAGTACATGTTATTAATCTTCCAAATATCAAGCTCGCTAAGTTTTCCTTGCTCACCAATCGTTGCACCCGCTTTTTTAGGCGAAACCGTGTCAAGACCGTTTTTGGAAAAGGTTTTGCTGTGATAATGCATGACACTGGTGTAATCGTAGCCCACGCCAAAGTTGGCAATGTCGGATGACCCGTGCTTTATAAAATTCTCTTCGTTCTCTGTGGATAAGTGAGTGGAAATTTTGATGGAAATTTATACTAAAATTTGTAGTCTTCATACCAGGCATAACATTTTCCCAGTGAATATTGACATAATCGTCTCGGTCGGTTCTTTCATGCTCGTGGGTGAATCCGATCGTGTGGACGACTTCGTGGATGAAAATTCCCAGCGTGTTGCACCCCGTGGCGAGGGAGAGGGTTTGCATGCCACCGATTCGCCCGACTTCGGCGCTGCAACCTAATTCCTGGTCGATGACGACGTAGCTGCCTTCGAAGGTGTATGGCTTAAATCGGAAACACGTTCGGCCGGTGATGTGACGGATCGCGTTTTCGAAAAGGGTGCGATATGAGGCGGCTATTTGGAAAAAAAGGTGGTAAATTTTTGTTACCTAATTATGGGGTCACTAACAATAAGACGAAAAATAATTATTTACGTACGAAATGTCGCCGTAAATTTGTAGGGCATGGTTGCATTTGGCCATCTCAACTCTGGTGCGATTACTCCTGATCTGGAACTTTGATTTTTCGCGTGTCTATTGGTACCTGGAAATTATGAAGAAATTAAGGCAACGACTAAAATATTTGTGTAAATACAGTGATAAGGCTCACATGCTAGCGGAGTAGATTCCACTGGTTTCAAAATGGCGACTGTCAAAGCCAGGGAGACAAGGATCCAAGCCTTTTTTAGTGCGGAGTTGTTCAAATTGGCCATGATTTTGGTAGGGCTTTTCAATTAGTTTTAAATTAATGGATTGTCCTACTGAACTAAATAAACATGGATGTATGGTGCCCTTTTATATGAATGGTATACCTCAATTTTAAGACATTTATGACCTAATTAATCAAAAGTTTGTAAATAGGTATTAGTTTAGCGCAGATTGAAACACACTGCGTCACGGCGTAGGGTGGGCATGCACTCGAAATTGTATGAATTACGGGAAATCAGAGGAGTCACATTTTTTAGAATATTAATATTGACGATGGTCTGGTATTCACTATAAATGCTCAAAAAATGGACACTCACGGTTGATGAAAGACGATGGAAGCATAAAAATTAGTCGGGTGAAATGCTTGCGCAAAATTTCATATGCCAATCATACCTGGATGAGCTTTATGCCAATTTTTGTCATACAAACTCATATGCATGTAATGGAAATGGAGGGTGGGTTTGCCGATCTCTGGTTAAGATAGTTTGGCTTGCCTAATTTTTACGACCTGTTTTACCGAGAATTGGGATTTCGATTTGTAACTTGTAAGTACAAATACACGGCTCCCGAATTGATATGCAGATCATATAGATGGACCGAGAGTTGGAGAGGATATCTTTATGGAGGGATTAAAATCTGCAAGTTTATGTAAAAAAGCTTGCTTAATAGCAATATACCGATTATTAAATATTAAAATGTAGTAACTGGGTTAGGTTTTGCAGTATAACCGTTACCCTATGGAATCTCTCATTTCAGAAACTAATTGTAGAAAACCATTGGGATTATCAAACAGCTAGAGATTTACATCTTATTCAGTAGTATAGAAAATGTATTATTATCGATAACTTAGCAAAAGCCTAACATAAATACATGCATATAATTGACATCCATGTAATTTTTGAGGAAGTATGTTATATAATTGATTCCGATATGGAGAACATTATCTACTGTTTAATAACCTCAAGATTAAATGAATTATTATTATTTCCATTATCAACAGAATTAACTATCTAGCCTAACCCAAGAGAGTTATATTATATAGCTACATATGTACGCGACTTACTAATAGTCCAAACGTTATTTCTGCAGAGGGGTTAAAGTTTATGAAAGTGTACTTATAATTAATGAATATGGATGATTATAATTAATAATGATTGAATTAGTATGATTAGAATAATTTCAATAATAACTCGCAGACATGTTTTGATTATTAAGGAAGAAACAAAGTTTTTTATTTGAATACTTGAGTAATGAAAAAAAATTAACAAGTATTTTGTAAGTATGAAAATAATTTCGAGAAAGTTGAAGAATGAAATGAAACCAAATTATTCGGAGTAATCGATGTGACGCTCCGCCTCAGGCATCATGGCCTTGTAGGAGTACGCTGTCTTCTCGATGTATTCCTTCAGCTTCGGAACGGCAAAGACGACAGCCTTGAACTTTGCGAGGCCTGGATAATCCCTCAAGATGTCGGCCTTGACAGTGTCCTCGAGAATTTGGAGTTTGTCGGCAATGTTGATGTCAGCCCAGGTCAGAACCTTGCCCACGAGGAAGTCTCCCCCATTCTTCTGCTTGATAGCTTCCAAAACTTCCAAGCATTTAGGCGCAAGGGTGGTGACAAATGTCTCCCGAAGAGCGGCCTTCTTGACCGGATCTTGTTCGAAAAAGACAAATTTCGCCCACTCTGTGGAGAGAAAAAAGAACAGCATTAGATTTAAAATATTCAATTTTATAAGGACGGAATTTTATATTTGTACAGATTTAAAGGTTTTAAATTTTACAGATTATCAAATTAGTGAGTCAGAAATTGTATGGAAATAAAATACTAAATGCAAATGCAACGAAATACATAGGTTTGGAAAGTAAAAAATCTCGGAAATGAAATTGTCAAAAGGATTAAAATTTGGTAAAGTGCCATAAATTCAAAATTTCTTACGCTCAAAGAGATCGTTGGTAGCGTCGACGTACTCATCGCATTTGGCCGCCTCCCAATCACTTTCCCCGCAGAGCTGGAACTTGCGCCCCAGAAAGCGAGCAATCGTGTTGCTCTGCGCTAAGACTTCCCCATCAACTTCCAAGATTGGGACCTGGCCCCAGGGCGTTGCTGCAAGTAGTAAAAAGAAAAAAAATTGATGAAACATGTCCCCCAAAAAATTCAGCAAAATTTAATCTTAAGTCCCTCTTCATCCAATCCCACAATGCTAATGCCCCCCTCCCCCCGAATTAATTGAATAGTAAAAAAAAAGTACAACTTACACGGCTTCAAAGCTCCCCATTGGTCCCCCGTGAGACGGACGTCCTCAAAACCCACCCCGGCGTAGGTGAACAGCAGCCGGCTGCATTCGGCACGTCCCCTCATGTCGAAATAGGTCAACTTGTAGGTCGACATCTTTTAAAGGAAGACAAACTTTCGAGAAAAATTAAATTTCCGAGAGACCAAATCCACACGTGTGTCCAAGCCAAGGAGTCGCGATGAAGTGACGAAAATTGTGGAGTGAAGTGGGAAGCAAGCACACCGGCGCCTCTTCGCTGAGCTTAAGAGGGCCGTGCGAAATGGATGTGACTAAATTTAAGTGAATTAATCTCATCCACTTTTAGTCAATAACTCGTATAAAACTTTATTAGGCGAAGATTTGATGAGGAAGGAGATTCACAAAATCCTTTGTGTACGTCCCCTTAGTGGAAAGAATTACAAGGCCAAACGTTTTTGCTTATCTTTTACTTTGTTTGTGTGGACGCCGTGTGGAGTGGAGTGCCGAATTCCACAAGTCCGACAGGATTAGACACGACTGGAAAAGAAAACGACTTATGGACGTATGTACGCATTTATGCAAATATGTACCAACATTGCTTCGGTTTTATGTATCACGGAACAAAAAATAACGTTGTTGTATGAATCGGTATGGTATAGAGAGAGACCATGGAATATGAAATAAACTAGGGGAAGAGGAACGACTCATGCAATGTATTTGAGTGAAGCTTATGGAAGAGCTCAGCAGCCAACCAGCGGAGCTTAATATTATTTTGTTCTTCCTGCAAATGGGCGGCTTTAACAGATCGGCCAAATAACTGTGTGCAGTTTCAGCATGAGAAAAAGCTGATGCAATTCAATCACCACCACATGGTTTCCTTTGCGTGGCAAAGAAAAATACAGTTCCAGTCCGATCGATTTTTAGCCAGCTTAAATTTCTTCAATTAATTATTTAAAAAAGTTACTTGCAATTAAACAGTGTACCCCTCGGCAGTACATGGTAAGTACACATATCTATTTGCACATTAAATTATATAACACACATGCACACGTACTGTAAACATTACTTGAGCAATTTTTTTTTGAATTAAGACATTAAATACATTGGGTTAATATTTTCCAGCCTCCACGTGTCCCTGCCTTCAAATGAAGTGACCAAGCCGTGGGGGTCACCACCACCAAGGACACTGAAAATAACCTGTTGTAAATATCCAAGGTGTGCTAAAACAAAACATAAAAATCCGGAAGCTGAGTTTTATCAATTTCCATCCCAGCCAGACAGGTCAGGCGTGTTAATAAATTAAATGGAAAATAATTTTGGCATTCTAATAAAGAATATTAAGTTGCAATATTTTCTATCGCTTAGATTCAAGAAGTGGTGTGAGTATTTGGATCTCGATTGTCAAAATGTTCCCCCCGTCTCCATGATTTGCGACCTACATTTTAAGGATGATCAGTTTAACAATTCTAAGAAGACTAAAACCATCCGCCCTTCCATCAAGATTTTTTGTGTCGCAGGAGCAATTATTAACAGTTTCTACACCCAGTGAAATTATCCGACCTAGTCCCAGTATTAAATTCATCCCTATTTTACCAAAAGAAGTAACATCAATTGCCGTGTCACCGCCGTCGTTGGACGTGTCGCAGCCGGAAATTAGTGGAAGCTTCGAGTCGCCTTGCTCCCCATCGTCATCCGTATCTTGTCCTCGACCTCAATCCAACATTTCGTCACCTGAAACCAGTCCAAGTTCAACCACGGACAACAAAAAAAGGATTCGCCAACTGCAACAGAAACTTCGTCGACCGAGGGTAAAAGTTCAGCCAGAAAGGATTATGGAAAGTCTGAATGAAGTTATGAATGATGCATACAGGACCAGTAGTATTAACGGGCAAAGACGCTTCACAGGATTGATTTGGAAGTAGCCCAAAACTATTTTTATTGAATTTAACTGCAAATCCAGACATTCCTTGTATTGCTCGGTTTGTGAATGTCATGTCCATATATATTTTACTATTTCTGAAATAAACGTACGAAATGAGTGAAAATCTTTTTCTTTTTACAATCTCCAGATATGTATAAAATTAATTATATTTAAAGTATCTGCGACTAAATGTCCCACTAATCTCGAGTCCTTTCGGTTAAACTGCTGGCAGCAAGCGAGTCGCTATTGCACAATCAAATTGATGTTTCTCAGAGCTACATATTGCACCTAAAAATAATTCGAGAAGAATAATTAATATGTTGATATGTCTTTGTTTGTAATACAACTCAATTCTTTCATAAATGGCCCAAATGATTACCTCTGGTTCTGAAGACAACAATATACCAAACAACATTAATTCTTTAAGAAACTTTTCCAACCATGCACGTTGTGGCGACGGTGATGACGACGATAAGCCACGTTCCGGCGGCTGTGGCACGTCTTGCGACGGCGGAGACACGCCGGGTGTGACCAAACGGGAAGGTTTGACCTCTTGCATTCAGACGTCTTTATGTGTCTCAGTATTTCCAATTAATTAATTCCGCAAGAACGCAATTCCAATAGCATTTTATGCATTTGTCATGTTGATAGTAATTACAAAAACCACTAGGGTAATTATTTTTACAAATTTAATTGTAGTGAGAAATGTAAACACAAATTTTATGCAAGAGAGCAAGCCTATGGTGAACTGATTTGGAGCGGAGGAGTACATAAAGCATGGTGGTGGCTGGCTGCCAAAAAACTGAAGCAAAGTGGTGACGGTGGTGGAAAAAGAGGCTGGACAAAATAAAATTAGACGAATATTACCGGCTCTCGTGTCTCTCAATGCGGCTTCACCGCCCAAGTTACTACAGTTCTTCCTTTAGAATCTCATTTTCCCTGGAGAGAGACTAATAGAGAGTGAAAATCTTTTTGTAAATATCCAGCCAGATACTAAATATTTAGTGGTATGTCATGCATTCATGCTAGTCGGACAAAAACGGAAGGTGGTGGCGTTTGTTAAATAATAAATAAAATAATAAAAGTCCGACAAAAAAACTGACTTGAAATCTTCAGTTCTTTTTCTTTATATGCGCATCGTCTTACTCTTATGCAAAGAAGTAATATCGTTCGTTTCTTGAAAATTCTAAAGTAAATATTTTTTTGCACATGTTGAAACTCAAAAGTTTTTATGGGAGTGTCTTCCATTCATATTTCATAATTGATCCTAAATAATTAGCTAGATTTGATTTATCTCTGGTTTATATATGTGGATAGATATGTAAATATATTTTATAATCAACTGACGTACCTAACTATATTCGCAACCTTTCGTATGAAGAAATAATGAAAGAGAATGAAGGATGTATTTATATTTTATATCATAATCTTAGGTTTATATTTATACAAAATTTGATCGATCACAGTGTGAATCCTTTGCAGCTCCTTGACTTTGCATGAAACGAGTTTAAACACTTTGTTCGTGGCGTTGTTTTGAGACGTGCTTTCGCATTTTTTGCACCACGACCATGCCCCAACTGCGAACAAACCTTCAAATCAAAGAAGAATTTAAGTGTTCATGTCAAAAGGATCCATACATCAGGATATGTCACCCCCACCCCGCACAAATACCCCCACTGCATAAGGATTCCAATTTCCGTTCTTTCTCGAGGGTCACATCCGTCAAGCCCACACGGGAGAGCGGCCCTTCAGTTGCGACCAGTGCGGAAAGGGGTTCGCCATAAAGTCAGCGCTAATTTTACATTTGAAAGGGGCCCATGGCGTCGTTTTGGAGGTGAAAGATAGACTGCCCAGGTCGAAAAAAGACGTGTTTCGCTTAGAGGAGGATGAAAATGCTTGAATTTTTAATAATGTTAAATTTCAATTTGCGATATCCCGAAGTTAAGTCAAGCAAATTAATAATTTGATAATTTGAAATTATCAAATAGTGCTGATTTATAATTTCGTTTTACTCTTGAAGGTTTTTTGCTTTTTTTTACAAATAGCTTGGTATGGCTCATATGCAATTAAAGATGAAAAAATGTGTGTGGTCAAGTTTTTGTTTTATTTTGAATTTAGCATTTCATAGCTAATTCTGGGGATAAATTTAGAATGAAACATATGATAAATGCATGATAGTATTTTTTTCATGAGCACAAATTCTACTTGATATCAATTTAAATGACTTGTATCTAAGGCTCGTGAGATTTTCATTTTTGGGAATTTATAACGAAGATTTGCGACAGTTTGGTGCATGGTTTAGTAATCTTCACTAATGCCGATGTAATTATGAAAATGTACTCGTTATAAAATTTTACCAAATGTAATTGCATTTTTTATTTCTCTCGTTACATTCTTCATATGTACATACATATGTACCACTCAGCAATATTTAATTCAAGTTAAGATTCTACATAGCAGTTTTCACAATCATTTTATTTACTTCCAATTGTATTTATTTTGTGTATTGGTGGTGAGGAGGGTGCGACATTTCCACTTTATGTCAAGAAGCAACACTTGAGTCCTGTGACGCAGTTCCCTCCTGGGACCACAATATTGGATGCGCATTCAGGTAGGCAAAGCGTGCCGGTAAGAGCAAATTTTAAAATTGTAAATTGACACACTTGGTACTCAGTCCCTGAAAAAAAAGATGAGCAAATTTTAGCAATTTGTGTATATAACTCAGGACCTGGATTCTTCTTTTGGTTTAGGGGCCGTCCATAAATTACGTAACGCAAAAATCGTCATTTTTTAGACCCCCCCTCCCCTCTCGTAACGGCATCGTAACGCTTCTCGACTACCCCCCCCCCTCCCCCTTCGTAACGTAACATAAATTTGATTTCACCGCAGGTGATTTACTTAGCATTCGCAATGCATTGTGGGGAATTTTGGGGCCGCACCGATGAAAGGAAAGGGGGGTATCTCTCATTCTGTTACCACAAAATAGAGCCAAAAATCCAGTTTATTTTTACCTGTATAACCAGGTTATTTCGGTTACTCCATTCTGAGATATTTAAGGTCAAACTTTTGACCGCAAACTTTTTTGCATTGAGCTAGAAAATTTGTGACAACTTTGCACTTAAATATTTCAAAATGAAGCAAATGAATTGATTTGGTTGTACATATCTATGTAAAAATAAACTAGATTTTTTGGTATATTTCTTGGTAACAGAATGAACGATGGACTCGTTACCCCCCCCCCTTTCTTGACCGGTTCCGCCTAAAATTCCCCACTGTAATGCAACCTTTTCTCAATTTACACCTGGAAAACTAATGAAAAATGTATATTTACATGCGTACACTGAAACCCTTTGGATGACATGAATTCAATATGCTCGGCGTATCCTATTTGGCGAATTTTAGTCGAGTTTATTAAATGTGTTACGTAACAAATTTTTTATACCCCCCACCCCCTTCATAACAATTCGTAACGCACTTCCCATGACCCCCCCTCCCCCCCTCTTGCGTTACGTAATTTATGGACGGCCCCTTACCCCCGGTTTCGTAGTCTTCTCCTTCTCCCATCACGACGACCGACATCATGGCGACGAGAGCGAATATGGCGAGAAGCTTGGGTAAATTCATGATGAAAAGCTGGTCCATGAAAGAAGATATTTTATTGATTTTAATTCATGATTGAAAAATAGGAAGTTTTTGGAGTCAGTTTCTTACCTTTATATTCTGAATCGCTTTATAATTTTCTGCAACGATGTCTTGAAGTCCAAGGGGAGACTGAGTCCTCTTAATCTTTAGTAGAAGTTATTTATGCTGAAACTTTTTCACTGAAAAAAAAGTTCAGCAGAAACTGAAGTTGTTTAACGATAAGATTAATGAAGTATTTATTAGATGAACCATGATTGATTTAAGTTACCGATTGCATGGCATTTTACATTCATGATACTGATCCTGTGTAGTTTGTATTAAAGTTGTTTCATAACGCAAATGGCACCACACCGATATGCTGGACATAACGTAATCTATGTTAAATTAATCTGAAAAAGAATTATCTTAACCAAGCGTATGTTGAGTTGGTCAACTTGCTCAAAATGAAAGGATATTAGCTCATCCTAAGTAATTCCAATGCTCAATTGATGTTGATGAGAAATATGACAGTGTTACACAAATTGTTAAATTTGGATTCTTCTCAACGTCTGAACCCCAATTTATGCAAAGCTACGCTTTTAACTCAAGTGGATAGCAATGTACATACAGATGCATTTATAACTTGGAACTAGTCGTACATTTCAATAATGGTTCACCTATAACCTCATGGATTTGCATATATATATGTGTATGCCTAAAAATTAACATGTATACTATAGTGGTATTCACAATAACCGATTATTGCGATTATAATCATTATCGATTATAATCACCCAAAAATTCTCTATGGCGAAAAATAAACCAATGTGATTATAATCGTCAAAAAAATAATCCTCTCGGAGGACGATTATTTGGATTATAATCCTTGATCCAAATGCAATTTTTTAAAGCGTCCGAAAAAGTAGCCGTTGCTATGATACTATTTAATGAATCCTGCTGGATATTTTAGGCAAAATAATCAAAATACAACAATAATCTGGTGCGTTCATGGCATATGATTATAATCGATTGTGATTATAATCGTCGGAACATTACGGGCAGACGGACTCCTTTCCGATCGGGGAATGCGATACATCAAAATGTCGGGTTTTTCGTGCTGATCAATAATATATAAATTTTTTGACCGGCAAACGTATATTAAGGTCACAAAAAAGGTCAAAGGTCAAAATTTTTTATTGCAGTTTTGGACGTTTCGGAGAATTCTAAGACTTTGTCTCACTTTCCCCCATGGCGGGAAATTTTTTGGGGTGACATGAGATTTCTAGTGTCTAGGTAGGACTGCTAGCTAGGATTGCTAGCTACGATTGCTAGCTAGGATTGCTAGCTAGGACTACTAGCTAGGACTGCTAGCTAGGACTACTAGCTAGGACTGCTAGCTAGGATTTCTAGCTAGAATAGCAACGCTTTCCGCGTACCTAGTAAATCTAACCTAACCTCGCTTCGCTCGCTTAAAAACGAACAATACCCCAATATTCGGCACAATTACGATATTTGATGACACACTTTACCCCACAATCTAATAGTGCCCCAAAAATTTTGCACTTTGCAGAAAAATGATCAACATTCGATATTCTACAAGAGAAACTAGTAATCTCATGTCACCCCAAAAAATTTCCCGCCATGGGGGAAAGTGAGACAAAGTCTTAGAATTCTCCGAAACGTCCAAAAATACAATAAAAAATTTTGACCTTTGACCTTTTTTTGTGACCTTAATATACGTTTGCCGGTCAAAAAATTTATATATTCTTGGTCAGCATGAAAAACCCGACATTTTGATGTATCACATTCCCCGATCGGAGAGGAGTCCGTCTGCCCGTAATATACCTAATCGTCCTCACGATTATAATCGGTTACTGTGAATACCACTAATATTTAAAATAATTTCATCATGTCGGGCTGGTTTTTAATTACTATTTATTACATATACTCTCTTGACTCTACTTTTATGTATGTACAAATACAAATGTTTATATAGTGATATGGATTCTTAACCAATTTATGAATAATAATATACTCAACTTGGTGGATAACTCCGCATGCATATGTAACAGGTTACATAATAAATGTATGTGTACACTCACATATTTTATGTTCAAGTTAAATTTGCTAAATCTTAAAAAGTTAAACGTCATGCATTACAGATATAAAACGACAATATAATCGATAATCTACTTGTAGCTCGTTAAATTTGCACAATTTATGATTTTACTTCTTTAACTTTGCTTTTATAATCTTTTCAAAATGTCAATTTGACAACTACCATTACAAACTAATTACGACCTCCAAACATATTTTCGTTTTTGACAACAAAATCTATATCTGCACCTAATTGTAATTTTATAATCACCTTTTTCGCTTTCATGGTACAAATTCAATCGCAATTAAACATTGTTATATAATCTAAACAGCAGAATTAAGGCTACGAGATAGAAAATGTAACATGTTTAATCAAAGTATTTCTTAAGTTATGAAAGTAGCGTGTACTTATTAATAACTAATAATTAGTTAATCTGAATCAAATTTAGGTTATAAATCAAAAGCCCCAAAAATCGACAAATGTCAGAATACAGAAGGAAAAAGTGGGAATCTTTCACTAAAAATTAAGACTTAATCTGCATAGTAATCCGCAGCGTTATATCGTGGGTATCATCGTACATAAGTTTACTTTTTAGGGGAACGAGTCCCCATGTGTCCGGTGACCGGCTTCTCTGCAGGCTCTTCCTCTTCTTCGACTTGTTCTTCATCCTCATCTTCAACTTCTTGTTCGCCATCTTCCTCTTCCTCCTCGACACCTTCTTCTTGTTCCACCTGGTCATCCTCCTCCACTTCTCCTTGTTCTTCGTCATCTACTTCTTCATCGTGACCGTTTTCTCCTTCGCCTTCATCTTCCTCCTCCTCCTCCAATGCTTCTTCGTCATCACCTTCATCCTCTGCCTCATCTCGTTCCGTGTGCACTTCCTCAATTACTTCCTGAGAAAAACAGAGCAAAAATAAGTCCACGATATAACCAAGCTAAAAAATCAATTTAAAATCTAACCTCTTGCGAGTCGACTTCTTCTTCTCCATTGGCATCGCCCTCTCCGTTAATTTCCTGTTCTACCTCCTCTACCCCCTCCACATCCTGTTTAGCCTTCTTTCCCTGTCCACCTTTTTTCGGGGAAGCTTTACGTTTCGTCCCAGCAGCCGCCATTGTTGCAGATTTTGCCGCAGCTGCTGCAGAAGTAGACGGACCGTCGTCTTCAGCGGCAACGGCAATTGCCACTTCTTCCTCACCCACTTCGTGGCCATTGCTGGCCAACTCTTGTTTAACTAATATCAAAGGCTCCGTCTTAACGACAGTTTTTGATTTCTTTGTAGCCTTCGGGGCCGGAACGGGGGCGGATGGATCAACTACAAAAAGCAGGAAAATAAATTGTAGATGGTAAGAAAAACGAAAAAAATAATAGTAGTTTGCTTACTCGTCCTAATTTCTGGATGTCGCTTCAAATAGCCGTAATACCAGTCGTCACTAGCTAAACGTTTCTCTGCATTGAATTGGTTTGGAATCCCGTTCGTGTCGCAGTACTCGTAACAGATGCGCTTGATATCGGTGGAAGTGACGGTGTAGCCTTGTTCGCGCAGGTCAAGAATCGTCTTGACCAGGACGTCCTCTTCAATCTGGGGAGGGTAAGTAATACATAATTTAGTACAGAAGTTTAAGGTCAGGATATCGACCACCAAAAGAGTTACGATAAGTAGTGACAACCCTTCACCTTGCTTAAAATCGGATTCCCACCGCAAGTCTTGAATTGATTCACATCAATTTTTCCTCCGGCTTGAAGGAACTTTTTAAACTGCCGGTACAGTGTAGCTCTCGAGATTTGATACTCTTTGGCCGCATCGTTAATCTTGATCTTGGAGTCCTTAATGTTGGTAAGAGCGTCGAGGAGGTCTTCCTTAGTCCACTTATCCTCCGTCTTTCGTACATAATTTCGAACCATCTTCCCTCCGCCGGACTTTTGGGTTGCTGGGGGTGCAATAGCGACGACGCGGTCGGCTGAGAAAAAGTGAAAGCATATTAGACAATTAATTAATGTTGGTGTGTACTTAATTAGCTAACATTTGTTTGAAACAAATTGTTTCCTTGATTTCTATACTCACCTGTGGAATTGGATTACTTTTTAGCTATCTGTTACTCTCACCGGCTAAGATTGTCACAATAGCACAGGAAAGTTATCACCTAAATAAGGATAACAAAATTAGTATAACTCTTGGACAACTAAATTTAAAAAAAATAGTTAACTGGATACTGGACAGACTAAATCAATCTGGTCAACATATTAAATGGAATACAACACGAAAAATTGGACCGTTATTAATACCACGATGAATTACGAGTAACTTAGAGCCAAGTTAAAACTGTCATCTCATTAATTTTAAGAATTTTACGTGTTTATTTACTACTTTACTCGTATGCTTGGAATTTGGATGATGCTCAATCAAGCAAACAAATACAAAATAGAACACAGAAAAAACGTTTTTAGTTTTACCAAAGTTATTGCTGTTGTCCTGACCTCTTGAGACCTCGTGTGACCGTGACCCTGGGGGTGGCGACGGGGTTCGAAAAGTGGAGATGGGGACGGGATAAGAAGAACAATAATGTCGGCGTAAACTGGATTTTTGCAATTTGTTTGCTAACAAGACGAGACTTGGCTGGAGTTGCGTGGATCAGGTGCGATGGTGGAGCAGTGTGAGAATAAGCGGTCCCTCTCCAGTCTCACCCTCCCCTCCGTTCGTTCAGCCAGGGTTCCGTAACAAATAGATTTTTGTGTGAAATGGTGTGTCTTTTTGTATTTAATTCACATTTATTTGCTTTTCTATCAGATATGTGGTTAATAATTTTTTTTTCTACGATTAGGGATTAACCCCCGAAAAATTGTGGATTAAGGATTATTAAAATGCTGCTTCTCCGGATTTTTTTTGACGGGTTCAAACGTGAAAAAACTATTGTCGTTATTAGTGGTAGTAAAGTTAGTAGATATGTATTAGGTTTTTTTTACCTTAGAATTTTTAGAATGGGAGTAGGAATTAGTTTATTGTATCATGAGTATTTATGGTTTTGGCTTCATTGTGTTATTTATGCATTTTTGGGATAAAGTTTTCTTATGAATTGTCTAATTTCATTAATTTATAACGACATGTTGCATGCTTGTATGTCATTAGGATGAACTTTCTTTAAATCTCACCAATAAATCCGACCTATATATCGCTTTTGATAAATCACACTTAAAAAACGACCTGTAGAACCCTATTCTAAACTAAAGCATCATCACGAGTCTCACTCTCCTCATAATAATGTATCCTTTCCACACTAAAGTCTCATAGCATCATCACCACTCGTGTTTCACTGCCCCCCATTAAGGGGCTGTTCAATTAGGATAGGGATCACTTTTGGATAAAAACAGAGATTACACATTTAACCTAAAGACCACTAAAATGTGATGAGAACAATGAAATAGTGATTTTTTAAGATGTACAGAAATCGAGATGGTTTGAAGGTATTCCATATGCATGGTCCCTACGGAAATTTTCAGTCTCACGTTGTCGTCTCATCTCACCTCCGCTCCGCTTCGTGGCTCTGTATTCTCGCATTTACCATTCCATGAAGCTTTTCATGAATTATTTTCATTTTCATGGACCGAATTGTATTTCATTTCAGCATATCCAGGCAAAAGCATTTAAAACTTATTATGTAAATTTGGCTGATATGTTGAAGAGCAGATATATTTTGTAATCTTAACCGTAAGAAGAATTGTTTAGTAAATTTTACATGCATATTTCTATTATGCGTTGTTTTGTTAAAATTTTAACTAGTATGAGTGATAAATTATTAACTTGTATTTATAATTTAATATTTTGCATGCAAATTTATAGGTAATTTACTTGCTAACTGATAAAATGCATCATAATTCCATATTATTGCTAAACTTGCTAAATCTTAAAATCTGCTTGCCCACATTCTTTGCCTGCTACATATATTGCACCCCTACCTGAGAGACCTGAGAGTTTAAATTTGTATGGTTTTCATGTTATACGTATTGCAAAATGTGCCAATAATTACTTGTAATTTTAATTAATCTAATTTAAAAATTATGTGTGTAGATAGTAGATACCTTTCGTCTCAAAAAATCTCACCGCAAAAACGCAGCGCGAAAGGTTTTTATCTCATTTTACTTTTTCATCAAGACACCTGATTTTCATCAATTCACAATTTTCTCAAAAATCAACCCCAATCATAGGAAATAATCGGATTGCGACAGGTTTTGAAGGTACGTCGTAGGTTATTTATTTTAAAATTTAAGCTAGCCAATCTCATTATGGTTTGGTTTGGAACTTTGTTTTGATTGGTTAGTTAAAACATAAAGTTAACTAAAAACAAGGTAGAACTTACAAAAAATAATATATTTTAGGAAATACGCTTGAATATTTTTGGATAAAAATGGGCCGCATAAGTAAGCGTAAGATGGTTCAGCGAATGAGATTGTTGGCCAACTGTAAGCCAAAGACTAAGAAGGCCGTTGAAATTGGTTAGTGTTTGCCACAGTTAATCAATTAACTTATAAATTTATGCCACTTTATTCCTGGTGGTTGACTTTCATCGTTTCTGTGACAGATATTGCACCACTTGACGCCACGTCTCCGTTATCTACTAAATTATTTTCCGATACTACCAACAACCCCTCTGGTCGAAGGGTCGAGTTGGTTGATTCAAGGTATGAAACAGGAATCAAAGAAGGTTTTGTCTCAAAATTTATGAAGCTAACGCAACGATAATATGTACAAACCCCACATTCTAAAAAGTCTAAAATCTAACATAACATATTAGGTTTTGGATTACAATCATCATTATTATTTAACATAGTACCGGCATTATTGAATACTACTACGACAACAATCAAGTTAATTTATCTTCTAGTCTGACTAGACTAGTCAAATTATGAATAAATTAGACATTAACTAACTGCATTACATTTAAGAGTATAGTAATTAAAATAGAGAATTCTGTAAGATAATAAAGATAATATATTTAATGAAATTATGTTGATTATTTTAGAATCGAAATGCCTTACTCTAAGCTTAAGAAGATCCAGCTGCAGAAAATTGAGGCTTTGGCCATGGTGAACCGAAAGAAAACGAGTCTTTTGAAAGGTACCACAACCTCAGCAAAAATGCCTATTGCACAAAATAAGTGATAATAATCTAATTTAACTTATCCAGTTTCAGCTGCGCCACTGCACTCTTGCATTTTGTGTTGCACCCCTACTCGCAAAACTTATGAAATAGTTGATGGCAAGAAATTCATAGCTGCGAAAGGCATCCGAATTCTATTTCTGTTACACAAATTACTACAATTTCCACCCGACCGGTGTGCCGACTTGGAGACGAGATACGGTCATCCGACGGAGTGGGTTGTTCTGTGTGACACTTGCGACGCCATGGTGGCTGAAGGGAAGGATTTATCCGAGAAGATGGATCATATTTGTGCCCAGATTCGCCAACTTCAAGCTCAGATTGACCAATATAACACAAGCTTTGAGACACATCGCGAACAGTTTGACCAACTGGAATTTACTGTGAAAAATCAGATCATACAAGTTAAAGAGGAGGTGAGAGAGGAAGAGGAAGTAAACGGTCAGGGAGACCAAGGCAAGATTATTGACGGCATTGCTAAAGAAGTGCGTGCTTATATGGCTCAAGGTATGTATTAAGCTTAATTATAATAATATTAATTGATTTTAGTTAAAGTTTGTAATGTTTTCTAGGCGAGGGTGGGTTTGTATTTGGTGAAACGGTGAGTGAATGATTAAACTGATAAGGAAAGGGGATAATAATTTCTAAAATTTTGGGTATACATGTTGTTTGACAGGGTGGAGAAGAAACAGAAGTCGATTTTGGTATGATTAAGGTCGAAGAGAGTGAAAAGATGGATAGTTACCCTATTCTAGATTTTGAAGATGCTCTTCTCGGAGTGGAAATTAGTCCCGATGCGGGTAATGATTCTGAACATGGCGACGATCCGCTTAGAATGGAATCAGATCTGGATTATCAGAGGGATAAAGATGAAGATTGGGCAATTCACAAGAAAAAAAGTACAAAGTCAAAAACACTTGGTGCCGAGAAAACGGTAATGACAGAATTAAATACAAAATTTGAGGCAAGCTCGTCTATATACAGAGAATTAATAAATACAAATTACTACAGACAACCTAAATATTTCGACCACGATGCCTTAAACCAGAAATGAATCAGTATTTTATCGTTTTAAATTTTAGACTCCATCAAAACACGTAGAAGCCACACCTCCACCCCCCACAGAACAAACTCAATCTCACTCCCCACAACTCCACATCCCTTCCTGGACCTGGCCCGACTTTGTCAAATGGCGCACTGATCTCCTTCGTAATATCGACGAGGCAAAATCCTCCAACTTGGGAACAAAGGTCCCCACGCTGGCCTGGTTGGCAGAAAAGTACGCAATTTCCAACTTCCCCTGCCCTAACTGTGTCAAAGTTTTCTTCACCTTTGAAGGCTGGTCGCATCACGTTACACCCTGCGAAGAACGGAGTCGCCGACCCGGATACAAATGCTCCCACTGTCTTTTTAACTTCCGCTACTCGCAATCATTGGAGGAACACTTACGAAAACAACACGTCCCAAAGGAGCACTTAACGTGTACTGGATGTAATGAAACTTACGTCTGTTTGACGTCCTTTAATCTCCACGTTTCCGAAGTGAAAGCCTGTCTCGAAAAAGCCCTCCCGTGCAAGACATGCCTCCGGCAGGGTTCTAATTATTTCCCGACACGAGAAGCTCTAGAAGTCCATGAAAATGCGAGGCATCTACCAGATCATTTACTGCCGTACGCATGTGACCAATGTTCCAAACGATTTAGTAGCGAGCAGGTAATGAAGGGACATATGGTCGCGCTTCACGGTCCTGAGGAAGATCTCGTCGCTGTGTGTGAAATCTGTGGCGCTAAATTGAAAGGAGCGGTTAGGCTAAGGCAGCATATTGCGAATGTGCATAAATGCAGAGAACCCGGAGAGATTCATTTGTGATGTGTGCGGAAAAGGGTTAATTTCGAACACTAAGTTAAATATACACAAACAAATTCATATTCGACCTGAAGACGCGCAACATTTGTGCTCCGAATGCGGCAAGACGTTTCGACTGAGGGAGTATTTGAAAATTCATATGAGGTCGCATGACCCCGAGAGGCGGGGACAGTATAAGGGGAGGCCGAGAGGCTGTCCGGAGAGGAAGGGAGCGGCTGGGGCGAAAATTGGGCGACCACCGGTGAATGAGAAGAAGGGAGATGATGAACAAGAATCAAGAGATGAGGAATTGGATAATGCATAACATAAATAGACTAGTGTAGAAGCCCGTCAATTGACGTGCAAAATAGGCCCGTGGATAAGCCCGTTACCCCAACATTAGTGAAGTTAGCCTCTCCTGTTCTCTCTGCAGAGCGAAGAGAGAAAAGGCGAGGCTAACTTCTCAACTCAGCCACCGACCCAGCCAGCAGCGATACACTCGCCTGCTTTATATAGTTTAGATATTTATCTATGATAAGAATGTAGGGAACAATGACTTCCATAAATTTTTAATTACTATTATTTATGGAAAATGAATGTGTTTATTTTGTATGTTTTTTTATATTTCATGTCACTTCACCAAATTTGGAATCACGAATCCATTTATTTATTGTTAAAATAAAAACGGTTTTGTATTCAAGAAAATTTAAATGAACTTTTGTAATTTGATTTCTAATTATGTGTAATTAATGCGATTTGTAGCATCACACCGTTCTAGCCCGATACGAATAAATCTACCTTCTAACAAATCTAACGCTCTTGTAGAGGCTTCAGGATTTGATATTCCCTCACGCCGTTTCCTGCTCTTGTTCGGATTAATGAACAATGTTTTCAGCGAGACTTGATCATCTTCGTCATCGTCGTCAGAGTCGCCCACGTGAGAAAATTCAGATTCATCCAATGAAGAAGAATCGTCAATGTAATACACGGACGATTTGGTGGTACGACGAGATCGATTGCTACTTCGTGCAGATCGACGGCGTGACTTTCTATTGTTATCTTCGTCGTCACTTGATCCGACGAAGGATTGTTCGTCGTCATCTTCATCCTCGGATTCCTGTCCTTCATCGCTTTCACTGCCTTCCTCCTCGTATCTGGCAACCCTGGTTCTTTTCCTATTTCCGGTCGAGGAAGAAGTCTTGACGTATATTTTCTGCAGAATATCCAATAGCTCGAACACAGAGCTGACTTGAGTCCTGGCCTTGCTCGTTTTTTCGATATCGTACCTCTAATAAATACATGTATTTATATGTATATAAATTGTAAAATCAGATCTAAATATACCGATTGGTTAATTAATTAGTTACTTTATTAATGGGCACGTCGTGATATTTCCACATATGCCACTTCTTCCTCTTTTGACTAATCTGGAGGCCACAGTGGTCACAAAAGGAGGTGAAGTGGATAGGAAAATGCTTCCCCGTAATGTGTGACTTTAGTCCGTCCTCCGTCGAAAAATCCTGCGTACAAATATTGCAGAGGAAACGTTTTCCATTTTTCAGACCCTCCTCGGCAATGTTCACCGTCTACAAAACAAAATTCGGAAATTAGATTTAATTAAGCTCAGAAAAAAACGTAAAAAGATTTACAGAAATTCATAAATCAAGTTCAAAAACTAGCATAGGTATGTAATTTCCAACCTCAATCTTTGCTGGATCGAAATTAACCTCAGGATGATATTTTTGCACATGTCGCTTCATCTGAGGCATGTTCGTTATGGTTTTCGGACACGCCGGACACTTAAACCTCTTCATTCCCTCCTCGCTGTGAGCCGTTATCATGTGACCCCTCAAAGAGTGGGCGTACTGGAAGGTGGTATTGCACTGAGGACACATCACCCTCGTGAAGGCGTTGTTTTTGTGCACTTCTTGGATGTGAGTGACGACGAATTCTTTGCTCTTGTAGTTTTTCATGCATACTTTACAAGTATAAATAGTCACAGATTTTCCGCTATGCTCGACTTCCGTGGCGTGTATCAACGATTCCAAAATTTCTGGGGTTATGACCTTCTTGCCGGGATTGTGTTCGTCTTTGACATGTTTTAACCGCCTCTCACGGGTGATGAAGATACTCGGACAGTGAGGACAGGACCAGATGCCTTCTGCGTGGAAGGAGTGGTAGTGATGAAACTGGGAAGCGGTGAAGACTTTCGGGCACCCGGGACAAGAAATGGGGGGATCATCGGGATCATGCAACGTTGTATCATCTACTATTCCACTGGCGGAAGGGATGACGAGAGCGTCGAGGGGGATGGAATGGACAGCATTCATGTGTAGAATCAGCATCGCCTTGCTAGTAAACATTCTTTGACAGATTTGGCAGTAGCGTTTCATGACTTGGTCGTAGACGAGGTGGACCTGATGGAAGGAGTGAGATGTCGTAAAGTGGCAAAGTTGACAGAGGGAGGAAGAAGTGGATGGCACGGTGGGGGTGGCATGTTTGGTGAGGATGTGCGGCTCCTCTTCGTGGGTGTGATTAGATGTCGATGGGAGAATCGAAACCTGTCAAAATATACAGAAATTGAGAAATTATAAGTCAATGATATTAAGGTCAAATTAATCTTTTGAAAATTGGTAACCTTCTCTTTGACTAGTTCCACATATTTAGCCAAATTATGATCCTCGAAGCAGTGCTTTCTCAACCGGGCCAAAGTTAGGAACGATTTTGCACAGAGTTCGCATTTGTAAGGTTCCGCACAGTGATACATTTCCGGCTCCATCGCTTTCGATACCTGGTAAAAAGAGAGGTTAATCCAGTCCATTACATCCATTAATTAATTAATTATCTTTACCGGCGGCTCATTAGGATGGCATTGTTCTGTATGATCCACCAACTCAGAACCCGACTTGAACTCTTTCCTACACCAGAAGCAAGTCCGGCTCGAATCACATTCTTCAGGCTGTGAATTTTCTGCTCTCTCCTCATCAGCGATAAGTCTGTGACCTTTATTGACATGACTTTGCAGCCATTCAAGTGACGAAAATTCAGACAGACACGTAGCACACTTATGGACGTTTAAACTCGAAATGTTAAGCGGAGCTTCACTTTTCGAGTTTTCGACCCCCGGATGGTCATGAGGATGAAAGAGCGCGATATGATCATCCAGCTGGTCCCTTCTCCTCAACAAGACGCCACAATGCTCACAGCCCCATCGTAAATGATCATGCGTCGACATGTAGTGGTTGATGAGGGTGGAGAAGGACTTGAAATCGTGGTCACATTCAAGGCACACAAAGAGAGATGAACGACTCGTTGTGCCGCGTGAGTCCAGGGTCAAGTACCACTAGAAAGTCAAATTAAGGATCAAATATTAAACAAAGTTCTGCTATCTAAAATAATAACCTTAAATAATAATTAATTAACCAACCTGTTTCGCCGCCTGTGCCTGGATGCCTGCATGCTTCCTCTTAAAATGGTTTGATAAACTGATCCTCCCGAACTGTAAGTTATTGCATTTGAGATCAACCTGCCTCCCAACGCGAGCGCTGAACGGGCACACGCATGTTACTTCATTTTTGACCCAGTGGTTCGAATACAAATGTTCAGCGAGACGTGACCTGTCAGTGTATACGAAATCGCAGATGGGACAGGGAAACTTTGAATTCAAATTGTAGTTCCGTCTCGGCTTCTTTTCTTTCTTTTTCGATTTCTTATCCGTCGCCTTCTTCTTTTCCACTTCCTGTTCGGGATGTTTCTTTTTCAAATGTGATTTGAAAGCGGACTCTTCGCTGAACACTTTATCACAGTGAGGACATTTTGGACATAAATTTGCCACATTTTCTGGGAGTTTCGTCTCCAGCATCTTCTGCACTGAGCGTTCCAATGGACAAAGTGCTTCAGGCGGGAGTGGTTCCACTGGTGGTGGAACCACTCCAAGAGTAGCTCTTCGTGCCTTGCTCTCCTTCCTGGCACGATTCCCCCAGAAGTCAGTATTCGGAGGGTGAATTCGACGGCAGCGTTTGAGCGAATCCTTAACCAACTTGTTGGACCGAGATTTATTACTCGACCCACGTGGACGGCCCGGTTTTCGTTTGGTCTTTTTGGGTTGGGATGAGCTGTGGGAAGCATACGTATCAGCAGCGTTCCGATAAGTGATGTTAGATGACCAGTCGGTTGTGTTAATGGTGGACAAGTGTTGCTGATAACTGCCAGATATCGAGGGGTACGACGAATTAATCTGAAAAGTGTAAAGTACAATATTTAAATTTAATTAATTATACAAATTATTAGTTAAGTTAAATGTTTACCTGTTCTTGGTGATAACCATGTTGTGGTGTTGATAAGGGTACCCATCCATCAACTTGGACTTGTCCCAATTCATATCGAGCCGGACTTGCTGCCCCCATACAGTGCTGATGAATGTTATGTTGCAGCTGCTGCTGTTGCTGGACGTACTGGTTTTGACTGAGGTAGTTATCTTCATCCTGCGATGGAGGAGAGTACGAGCCGGCGTTAGGCGTCCAGTCGTTGTCACTATCGTTGTCGTTGTCGACATGATATCGACTTTGCCTTTGTGGGGGAAAACACGTGGGGAGAAAACTTGCAGTTTGTTTCGTATTTGGCGTCCTCTTCTTTCTCGACGGAACTGACATCATCGCCATAGATGGCGACGGACTTTTCTTCCTCCGTCGTCGCCTCTGCCCTTTTATAGCCCTGTTCGCCTCCTTGAGCTGTTTTTTAAACGCTCTCTCCCTCATTTTCGCTTCCCATGCGAGCGCACCAGCCACCCGTTCGGCGTCAAATTTAGCGCGATCTTCCTCCGAAATAACGCCGCCACCACGCTTCTTCGCTTTCCATTCTTTGCGACGCAAATTCTCTGTAAATCTGGCTACCAAAGTGAGCTCGCTGTATTTCCTGGCTCTCCGTGTCATGTAGAATCGTCTATCTTCCAAATGTTTGAGAACAATCGATCCAAATTCTCCCAGAAAAGTGTGAAATTCTTTAAAGTTTGTGGTCGCCGAGGATTCCACTACTTGAAGTGCTGACGACGACGTGTTATAACTGATCTTACTTGTTTTCGTCAAAGTGAGAAATCTTCCCAACATTTTACGATATTTAATTATTTCTTCTTTCATTTTAACTCTGATCGATTCCGCAGCCGATGCCCAATATTGGATAACAACTTGATGATCTGGGTGCGTCAATGTGTTGGAGAATTCGGTCGGATTCTGGGTGGCGACGAGTCTAACGTGAATTTCGTACTCTTTCTTCTCCATGCGGCATCGTATTCGGGTGACTTCGGCGTGGCGTACCTTTTTCTCTTCCGGCGTGAGCGGGATGGAGGATTTCGCCATTGGCATTGATGTCTTGTCGCCCTTGGTCGCCTGCTTACTTTGTGGTTCGTTATCTTTGAGTCGAGCAGCGATCCGGGCGCTCCTCTCGGTGAGAGATTCCTTGCTATAAAATTCTCTCTTTTGACTAAGCCAGACTTCTGCTTGTTTGATAAGCTCCTTCTTTTCAAGGATGACCTGGTCAATGAGGCTTTGGCGCTCAATGTCGATCAAGTCACGGCTTTCGGTGTCTTCCGGTCTCTCCTCCATCCAACGGGCGCGGCATAATTCGAGCTGTGATTCGAGTTGGGTGGCGCGTTCTTGTTTTCTGATATTGTGGATTCGATTCTTTGGCTGGAATCCTGAGCGGGAATTGTTCAAGCCGTCGTTGTCATCGTCAGCGGCAGAGACAGCGTTGGCGATCCATTCTTGCATCTCTTCGTCGTCTTGGGTGTCGACGGGTTCTGGTTTAATCATGACAATTTCGAGAGAGTTGCAGCCTGAGCCAGTACTAGAATTGATGTGCTCCTCATTATTATGGGCTTGGTTGCTGCTATGGGCATAATCATCAGCAGGATTATTTGAAGTTTGACTTTGAACCGGGGTTAGGGGTCGTTCCAGGGATGGAACACAAGGGCCCAATTCCAGCTCGACGGCTTCTGATATGAGAACCCATCGAATTTGTTCGAACTCTAACTGGAGCTTATGGATGAGCATCTCCTTGAAGAGCCAATCCTCTCCGACCTCGGGTGACTGGAAGACAAGATGTCAAATTAAATGGAAACTTGACGTATTTTCGTAGTTTATAAAGTGAAGTAATTCAGAAATACTTATCAGTCATTTCAAAACTAATTTACTTCTCACCACGTCGTCCAAATTTTGGGGTCGATTCTTCTTCCACTTTTTACTGCTAGGGTCCCACTTTTTCTCAGTCTCAGTGGTAATGAGGCGGTCAACCTCATGGCGAATGGAACGAACTACTTTCTCTCGGGGAGTGTAAGAGACCACAGGGGGCTGAGAAGTAGAGGGACCAACTACATCCGGTGGATGTGTTCCTGATTCGTTATCCTGCTGACCCAAATTTTGCATACTTTTCTGCAGAGCTCTCTTCTTCTTGACCCTCTCACGGTCCTTTCGCCGCCTATAATCGGCCCACGTTTCGCCAGGAATCGAGTCAAGATCCGGTCCATCATAAGCCAGAGTTTCCTCCTGGCAATAAAAGCAATGCAAACAAATTAAACAATTATTGTTTGAATGTGTATAGTCAGGAGAAAGTTCATAATGTGAAAGTAATTGATTTGACTGACCTCTTGTCTCTTAATTCTCTTCCTGATGGCTTCAAGTTTCAACTTTTTCGCACTGACGGGCCGTTTTCGTCCAAGATTTGTTCTACTGTCGATACTGGAACCAGATTTCGATCTAGTTGACCTTCTCCGGCGCTTTCTTGGTGCTGTGTTTGCGGCATGAGCAAATTCATCTGAATAATTCCCGTCCTATGGAGCAAGTAACAATTGAAACGTATTTGCATACAGCTACAATATAAATTAGGAAAATATATAAATTACGTCGTCAGGAGTGTACTCGGCGGCATTGTCCTCTTCACGCTCTGATTTTAGCAATTTTGCTAATGCTAATGGATTTCGCAAGATTGTAGATTTGTCATCGTTGTCACTTGCTTGACTTCCTTCTCCCACATCGTCCTCGGTATCGTCATCCCTCTCAATCTTGATGTGCTTCACACGTCCTGATGAAGGTCTTATTCGAGACGAAGGTGTCGCGGTTGCCTAAAATTATGAGAAGGTTTTTAATTATGTGTCTATAATTATGGTTTATAATTATGAAGAATTATAAATATTTTGGGCAAGAAATGAAAAGCTTTACAATTCGTCCCTCACCTTTTTCTCACTGCGACTTTGTCTCTTCCGTTCCCGTTCCAGTCTTCGGCGACGATCCGCCTTGGTTTCGCCTGGCAGAGCATCGTCCTCCGTCGCAAACTCGTGCTCCTCCTGTAATTATAATTAAGTACAATTAAGTTTCGAATTTATTGGGACAAATTATTACTCTTAACGTTTGACTTACCCGTTGTCTCTGCGCCTTTTTCAGCTCCGCCTGCGACTTGGCTAGCTTTGGAGGCATGATGACCACTAGAAATATACGTTCGTTTGATTATGTTACTAATCCTCCAAGTATTAAGATCAATTGAATTCAAAGTAATACAAATTTAAGTTCTCACCTAATTTTGACGTTTGTATTTCAGAATTGCATCTTTCCCACCACGGACAAATGCTTAAAGTTAATTGCAAATTAGTTAATGCTACCCACGGACTAGGTATTAATTACACATCAAAATTTCAAATCTTCAAACTTTGACAATTTCACAGGAAAATCAAATGTACAGAAATAAATATTATTGTGTGAAAAGTCGAACTATTGGATTCCGCTCAAGTTTCTCCTCGTTGCCCCAAAACTTTGTTCATCTCGCTTTCTCTGTTTCATGAATTTGGCATGAAATGTGCAATTTTTGTACATATTGTAAAGTAATTAATGGCTAATCCACTAATTAATTAGTCAAATTATATGTATAGCCAAATGAACTTATGATTTTTATTCGACAGAACAAAATATGCTAAAACTTACGGTTTCTCCAATTAAGGTATCAATTTTGGAAGTCTATCCGTTGCACGATTCAACGTATTCTGTACCCTGATACTCATGTAAATTTGTGCATTTATGGCTTCGGCATGGATTTTATTTTCCATTTATACATATTGATTTATTACCAAGTTAAGGAATAATTTAAAAAAATGTATAAAAATACTAATATTTCCATTTATGGCTTAAGTACTTATATGCACATTGATACTGTCTTTTGTTTGTTATCACTAAAAGTTTTATTGATAACAGGGACATGAAAGACGGAAGGAGGATCAAATAACAAAACTCTAAATTTCTACACAATGTCAAAGTAAAAATAAGTAAGAACGTAAGGAAAATCACATTTTTGTCAAAAATTCAGTATAACGAGGACGCTTCGGAGGATGTGAAGAACGACAAAGCTGAAGCAATTTTTCCGGATCGCTAGAAAATTAGAAACTTGTTACACACTTGTTACATTCTGTACATGTAAACTTATTTATAATTGGAATCATACCTCTTCATAAAATTTTCAATCTCCTCCTTCGCACCAGTCATATCATACAATTCGGTAAGATTCAAGAGCTCGAAGCAATTTTCCCATGAGACCAGAGTCGGGAGCAGCTTGCCGCACATTTCCATCAAGGACATGATTTGATACTAGAAAAATAATAAAAGACTTATGTAACTAAACACGACGTTTATAGTTATAGTATTTAATTATTAGTATTATCTCTTTATCCTCACCTTATTGGCTGCGTTGACAATCTCTTCATAAAATTCGCTCCATTTTTCATCCAGTTCTCCAGTGTAGAGAAATTTCAACAAGATTTTGACCCCGTCGCCCCCAATGTCGTCCAGTTTGACGACACCTTCAACCTTCTCCTTCATTTCGGAGGCGAACATGGCTGCAAAAACGGTGCTCTGCATGGATAGGATCAGCCTGTGTGCAGTAACGCGTTGGTCATCCCTAGTCTCAAAGGTCACATCGGACCGATCCCCGCTTTCCAGCATGGCGAGTATGACCTTCTTATGACGCTGGACACTTTTTTCGCGCTCCATCTCCAAAGTAGTAGATGACGAGGAAAGAATTCCATTAGCCGTAAAGGTGGGCTTGCCAAAAACCCGAACGTTAATGATCAGCTTTAACGTGTCTCTGCCAAGTGTTTTACAAATCGAGGGGAGTGTAAAAACGCCTGATGGATAGTTCTGCATCCGCATCCATGGAGCATTCAAGTTTTTCTCTTTATAGTAGCCTAAAAAATCATCACATTGGATAGCCCAGGTTGGGGCGAAGTAGTGGATGTCCATTTCTACGCAAAAATGTGTTAATTCGTAAAGTTATCTATCTTGTCGCCACCCAACTAAATGAGGGTATTCATTATTTAATCGTATCCTTAGTATTCTTCGTATCGTAAAATAACTTACGACGCTTACGAGATTGTGTAAGCGTCGTAAGATTTTGTCATCGAAAATCACGTTACTACGCTTACGATTTTCACGGTTGGCCCCTTGTTTTATCTCCGTAAACTATTTTACGATACTAAGGACACGAAGAAATAATGACTACCCTCAATGTTTCTTTTGTGATTCTCAATATGAGAGGGAGGGCTGTGTGTTCCAACTTTCGCCACATGTTAATAAGGAGTTGCAACCCGTTACAAGGGGGAGGGAGTGGTAAAAAATCACCCATTTATGTATTTTATGAACGTTTCCTTACTGTATTCAAATTTGCTTCGAGGTCCATTGTCCACGATGACTTCGAGGGTGACGGGAACCTGGTCCGTGCCATTGTATTCGACCAATTGGAAGCATAGCGTTGTGCACGATAGAGCGGAATTTCGTGCAAAGTAGAGTCTCCATTTTGAAGGTACGCCGAGGCTGGAGCCGGCCGTGAAGAGGAAAGCGTGCGTGTCCAGGAAATTCTTATCATTTGAGAGGAAGTTGAAGTTGTCGATATTCCAGACAAATTCGTGCGCCTCGGTGTCTACCTGAAAATAAATAAATATGTATGCACTAATCAGCAAGTGTGGGAGGAAAGAGTCGAAAATTTGGCAAAAAATTGCTTACGTGAGAATTGGCTGTCAGAGTCGGCGACATGAGAAGGCAGACGGCTTACTAACGTGGATTTCAAATAGGAGTAGAAGGAAACTATCATGATATGAAATAAAACATTTGAAAATTCATGTTAATCATTAAATATCAAATATTGATGTATTTATAACGTGTAATGTGAAATTATAATTCAATTTGATGCAAATTCTTTTAAAGCGGAATTGGTTTTTGATTTAAGGAAACTTCCTAAAAATTTGAGTTGAATTTGACTTAAAAGTACGTCTCTGAACACATACATACATAGACGTGATATCATTATATGAATTAATACTTATCGTAAAATTAGCAAGTCTTAACATCAGTATTAATTAAACCAAGTAAGTAAATGACTTTTTTAAAGTTCTCACCTTTGTTCAACTTCTTATTTAAAGATATTTATAAGTAAGTTGGCATTAGAATGTGAGAATCTCTCCAAAAGTTTTTAAAATAGATCTTAACTAGTTACGCATTAATTAAGTGCACACCAAAATTTGTATCCGTTAAATTTTTACAATAAATGAAATACAAAAAAATGAAGTGTGAGTGAAAGTATTTTTTGTTGTTTTGGTTGGGAGAAAGCGAATTCGCTCTTCCATACACCATACAGGGTCAGGCGCTTAAAATATAACGATTTTGTCGTTGAATAACCCCGGAACGGTATGTCGTAGCGGGTCAAAATTTTGAACAGAGGAGCATGTTATCCTCAGATAGGTGTGTGCAAAAATTCAACCCTCTACTTTCAAAAATGCCTCCCCCACAGCCGCCAGAAGTCGAGACAGTCATAAAAACTCTTTCCAAACTTAAGTCCTCGTACAGCCGAATAACAAAATATCTTAAAAGTGAAGAGAAAACGGTTTCGAAATCTAGAATTAATAAGGTATTGAAAAATATAGGTGAAAGGCGAGAAATTTTGAGTTAAGGGCAACCACCACCCCCTAAAAGAAGACAAAAAAAGTGCGAATTCCGACCGTGCTTAGGAAAAGTGACCTCTTGACCTCAAAAGACACTCCACCGACCCAAAGGGAAATTTTACGTAAGGTTGGGGTGTCTAAGCGTTGAGTGAAAAGAGAAATTAAGATTTTGAAAAAACGACTTCGTCGGAAAACTCGTGTGCATCAGCTGACCGAAAAGCAAGAAACAAATCGCGCCCGTATTCACAAAAAAAATTATTTGAATTTTCTGTCAAGGAATCAGAGTGAGTTATTAGTAACATTTGACGAAGCAATAATTTCTCAACAAGTTACTAATTAGGTTCGAAGAGCTTACTACACGACTAATGTCGGAAAAAATTCACGCAAGTTAGTGCTTCCGCGTGAGGAGAACTTTTGTAAACAGTTTATGGTGGTGGGTGCAATGTCGGGTCGTGGTGTCCTCCCACTTATCAAAGTCCCGCAAAAAGTGAACGTATCTGTAAAGTATGATGTGGACCGTGTATTGCAACCACTTTTAGAATGACATTTTCCTAAATTGTACAGTAAAAAAATAAATAAGATAATGTTTCATGCAGACGCAGCGTCTTCCAAGACGGCAAAGTAGCCGCAAGATTATGCAAAGGACCTTGAAGCTAGATTTGAGATAAAAATCACTTCGAATAGTGAAATACCTGTACAATACGCTGATGTAAGTCAAATGGACTTCTTTGAGTTCGGATACTCGAAAATTAAAATTTTTGTGCGGAGACCGAATTTTTTAGACGGAGTTTGGAAAGAGTTAAAATGACTGTTTTGACTTCTGGCGGCTGTGGGGGAGACATTTTTGAAAGTAGAGAGTTGAATTTTTGCACACACGTACTTGAGAATAACATGCTCCTCTGTTCAAAATTTTGACCCGCTACGACAAACCGTTCCGGGGTTATTCAAGGCCAAAATCGTTATATTTTAGGCGCCTGACCCTACTGTATTTTCTCAACTTTGTTCATCTAGCTTGGTCCACTATCCATGAATTTTTTGCATGCAACTTGCATGGAAAGTTTCATCCGAAGCATGAAAATTTTCTGAATGATGGTTTCCGATTGTGATTCTATTTCTGGAATTTTGGTGATATGTATTAGTGTCGAATTAAATATGTAATGACTTATTCTTTTTGGAAGTTATTTTATTATTAAGTACATAAATATTTCTCAAAAGTTGGAAATCTACTAAACAAAATGTCTAAAATTTGCATGTCACAATTAGAAACAGTGACATAGGTAATTAGTGGCAAAGATTTACGACTTGTATGAATTTTATCCGTGTAGATATATACATCAACTTAAATGATCCGTTATATTACATCGTTGCTTCATAACAACAACTCTATTACGCCCACATTTTAAAGTTAGCAGACCCTCCACTCCAAAAATAAGGCAAGTAATACCCACAAAAAATAAACAAATCAAGCAAAACAATTTCAGATTTTCTAGCCCTACTTTTTCTTCGACTTCTAAAATATTTAACCCAATTTTCGCATTAACAATTCTCCCGTAATGGACCCCCATCGGTGTATTGGTCTCGTAGAAAGCGACTCTATTTAGTAAGATAAATTCCCAATGTGTAGTCTCCCACTTTTGAAAAATTCCTGCCTCAACGAGACGAGCTAACCCCCTAGAAAAAATTACAGAGAAGAAATTCTTCCTCACAAACCAAGGCGAGCGGCTCGTGAAGAACGAAATTGCCGAATTCTTAACAGCGATAAAGCCGCCTTTGACATTAATTAGAGCGTCAAAAACGAACAAATCTGACGCCATGTTTACTATGGCAAACTTCTCGGAAACACTAATTATTTCGTGTGCCATATTTTCTATGGCGCCATTTTCTGTAATGTTTTTCACCACGGCGAACATGTCAGCGGTGATAAAAGTGATTTTGTCGTCAAGCTTTTGCAGAATGTTGCGGAAGGGGTGGGCTTTTTTGAAGTCGACGAGCAAATCACTAATTACGAAGTCTTTCACGATGAAAGAATCCGTGATTTCTCCAGTGTCGAAATTTCTCTGTCGAATTATCGAGGTCGTCAGGATAGGGTGATCCTCTACGGAGGCGAGGTCTCCCCAATCGGAGGGTGTTTCTGGGAGCAGACTTGCAGTCAAGTATGAGCAAAGGCTACCTTTGTAAAGTTCGTCAAGTTGGAAGGACATCATTAACAGGGTGACGAAGACAAGGCGGTATTTAGTCTCAGTTACTAAAATGCGTGCACTAGGTAAATTCACTTCGTCGAGTAAAAGCATTAAACAGGACCACCAGATCGATAAGAACTTTCCGATACTCAATGTTTTTTTCGACTGCATCACAAACATAAGCAGTGTCGCGACCGTAGTACCACCTAGCGTTAAGATCCACGTGAGAAGATCGAACGGCATGAGTAATCCTAGACTGTTGAATCCTCCCGGTTTCACGAATACTTGGAATTCAACAAAGTCATATGTTGTCGCAACATTTATCCACTCATACCGCCTGCTAGAATATTTTATCCAAGCGGTGTATACATATTCACTTAACACAATTCCGTCTAAAACAGCGCCTACTGCTATTTTATGGTTTTCATGTTGACTTGGTTGAACAGCTGTATAGTTGTAATGGGAGGAAAGCGTCGATATGACACAGGGTCCGGTAGGGGTGTCGAGTAAGAACGGGTAGGAGAAACAGCTGGTATCAGCTGATAATGCAATGGACTGGTGATGAACCGACATTTCGCCAAGATTCGATTGGAAATTGAACCAAACAGCTGATAAGTCGAGGAGATCGTTAGTTTGCAAGGGGTGAAAGTTGACCGATCCGCCGGAATAGTATTGAAACAGGATTAGTGACGATTGGGTATCCGAATTTGGAGGATATTGTATCCAAATAAGCTTAGAAGTATAACGCTGTAAGTCAAAGATTTTGTTAAAAAGTTCGAAAACTGGTTGGGGCTCGGGTAAAATAGGAAAACAATATAATCCGGCGTTTCCTTTAGGGCCGACATTGAACTGAATATGGTTAACAAAATTGAATTCATCTCATTTTCTGGGGTGAACCGAGTGTCAATTATGGAAATGTAGTTTGGTACTCGAACAGAGGAATGGGACGTCATGTTGAACGTGGAGTTGACAAGGTAGTAAATTTCGTGGGCGAAATTTATGGTAGCATTGGCTATAAAATATTTACTTTTATGGAACTCGGTAGGACTTATGTTTTCGATTTGGACAGGATTTTGGGGATGATTTTGGTTGATAAGGTTTGCAACTGTGGGTGAATTTATGGTCGGGTCGAATAAAAGTTGGACAGTGAGGGTCTCAAATTGATTTAAAAATGCGGAGAGAGAAAGTGTACTTGATTTTTGTATGAACACCATGAAAATTGTCGCGGTATGAAATATTCTTAGAATATGCATCTTGAAAATGCGATGAATTTATGTTTCTGTTAAAAACACGAATTAAATATGTATTTATAAATATATTTATTTGCACAGCAATGAGTTATACTCTTAGAAATGCATATCCGCAAATATGCGTGTACCGTAAATATGTAAATAGATGTGTATGTATATGCATACACACCAATATTCACATACATAGAGGGAATTTGTATGCGTATAAATGCACATATTTATGTAAGTGTAAATATGTATGTATACCAACTACGTACATATTTATGTACTTTCATAGCCATGTAGGACTGATAATAATCATAGTTTATGTATGTATGTATACAGACGGAAACCAATTAATCGGGTTGTTGTTCAAATTCCCAAATTTCCTGTTCCCTTAATGTGTAATGATTAATCTTCACATGAATGACATAAATGCATATGTATGAAAAACCTATTGGAATTGTTTCTTAAGGGAAATAAACATATTTCGGAAGCAACTCTTTACAATTACTTATTCACACTGACACATATGTTTACATAAATACATTTATATTTATATAAATAAATTGACAATAGCATATGAAATGAAGTGAGAGAAAGACGAGAATGGTTCTGGTTCTGGTTTTTATTGCACGTGTCAGTTCTGTACGAGTACAGATAATACGTTACTCTATATATGTATGTACATGCATAATATGCATGTACATATAGTACAGATGTACTACGAATGTACGTATCAGTAAAGTACGAATGTACTGTACATATACATGCAAGATTGATAGTGTGACATGTTTCAACATAAATTTCATATACATAGATATAGTATTTACATATGTATGAAGGCACATGCATGCTTAAATACCGATTTGCACTTACATACACAATAATCATTTATTTAGCAAAGGCCAAGCCACCCAAGAAAATTATCAATCTTAAAATGACTTCAACGATCATTATGAATATGTATATACTTATTTTATATCCTACTTTATTAAAAAAAGTCATACATTTGTAGAAATTATTTACGTCTCTAGCAACTTCAATTCAATTCATCCACTTCTCTGTTCCAGAATCGGGTGTCAAGTTGAGTTCTTGTAGATACATAAATGTCGGAGTTCAATGATAAATTTTGTCTCATTAAGACCGTGCATAAGGAATGCTATCGATTTGATGGGGGAGTATTCAGAGTCAAGGCATCAATTCTTTCAGATGTTACCTTGGTCATCTTATTGGTCAAAATCCTCCTAAAATAGGTCACATTCTTTACGCATGGTTCCTTCATCTTCTGAGATTGACATTTCTTCACGTTGCATGAACCCTGAGATCAAATTTGTATGGCTCAATTCTTGCGAATGTATGTACAATTTATACTTAGAAACAAATTTTGCGGTCCGTAAAAGTCGTGACATTTACGTAAGATGACAAATGTCGTAAGTCGCTTATATAATCGGGACAACGTTGATATGATTATGTATTTATGTAATGCGGAATAAAAATCTGTGTATCATTTCATTCGTCCAGTAACGAAATCATTCACTACCGACTAGCGACTTGTTTCCCGAGCTGGAAATTTGCTACAGGATTTTGGCCCATATTTTGCTATAGTAAGAAATTTGAAAAATTTGAACTTCAAACTTTGAAATACTAAGTTGCATGTTTTGAAAAATAATGGTTTTGTAAATATGCATTTTTTAAATAGGTTTTGTGGAAATTTTGTGCATACGCCATGGCTCAAAATTTTGGAAAGAGGTTGCTGCAAATACTTTTAGCACTTTTTGTGCTGGCAGTTTTCGTCCAAGATGTGGTCGGACAAGGTGCGTAATTAGTATGCACATCCAAATAATTTGCACGTGCTGATACAGATAATCATGAATCCGAATGATAACTCATGCTTTGATTGCATGTTTTATGGGGAAATTTGTGTGACCGAATTCACTTTATCAGGAATTAATGGAGTACACATGTACTATCTTTTGATAAGAAGCGAGTCGAACATGTTACCAATTATGTTAATGTACTTTGGTTATGTTAATTCGATCCAAATTCGAATTTGTTTTCTTGAACGAATAAATTTCTGAATTTAGTAAATAATCTGAGTGCGATACAAATGCGTTCGCAAAATTAAAGTTTACATATTTCAGGCACCCAGGACCAAAATTGTCAACAGAGTGACACCATCCTTGAAGGGACGTTTTGCACTGATTCAGCCTGTGCTATTGCCGAGGTTCCTCTAGGATCTGGTTGGTGCGAAGATGGACTTCATTGCTGCTACTCGTAGAAAGTAAAACTTCTAAAACTCTTACTTATTGAATATCCAAAACAAGATTAGAATTATGCTAAAATTATTTATTAAAATTAAAGGACTGTCAATTAAATAATGTTTAAATAGCAAGGATTTGGTTTGGTTAACTATAAAAAATGGGGTTGTTATCATTTGTTCTAATTAAGCTAAAAAATAAAATTGAAAAGTAAGCTGAAATGTTATGAAGAAGAATTTATTTTAAAAATTTACAAAAATAAAGTTGTCATATCTTTTATTTTATTAATTGACCGGAGTCTTTACCTCTTGGTCTTGAGAATTCAGTCTTTGTTTATGGGTTTCTAATTATGTATGCAATATGTAAAGGGTGACCCAAGTGTATCTTCCGACTTTTTCCTGCTTCTTTGCAGATATTTCGTCCAATGAATTGGAAGAATGATTCATACTCAAATTTCTAACGTTTGTACATATGGGTAAGTATTGGAACATACGCCACATAATAACCTGTTAGGAAGAAAAGGCGACTTAAATAAGTAGAGTTTTCATAAACAATACGGTGAACTAAACAAGAAATATTCAAGCTCATAAATAGGTACTCAAAGTTTTATTTTTGTCCGATTTAGAGTGAAGTGATAAATAAAAAAAATGGTTGGTTTGTGTGATATGCTGATGTGTGAACATTTTTAATTGCAAATATTTATTTTATCTACTTAATTACTAAATTATTCCTGCATAACTAACTCCACCACTTAAGCCTCTAGCCCCTACGTTAACGGCTTGGTAAAGTTGTCCCGCACCAAGTCCAAAGTCTTCCAATTTATCGTTCGGCATAAATGCGCCCGCCGTCGTGATGTACAATGTGTCCAAATTTGTCCCCCCAAAGGTGACAGAGGTCACACGATTTGCGTACATTTCTACGAGACCAATCTGTTTGCCGACTCTAGGGTCGATTTGTACCACCTAAAAAATATGGGAGGATTTATAACTTAAAAATAGTGAATTTACTGGATATGACAATTTTTGCAGTTAATTATTGCATTATAATTGCAATTATAATACAAGCAATGCAATAATCTATGGGTGTACTATACATTGCAATTATAATACTGCAATGAATTGCCAATTCTGTGCAGTTTTTTATGCAAAGTTGAGTTCTTTTGAAGTAATTATTGCCACACTCAAAATTAATTCGTAACAAAATTGTCAGTGACACTTTGTCACCAATAATTTTTCGTTATAAATGAGGCTCTTCCACGTAGGTTACAATTCCGAGTTTGGTACCGAATAATTTGCTATACCGAAACCAAAATTTATTACCACAAACTTGTTACAATTTCTCAAAGAATTTAACTTTTACCGAAATTATTACCCTGAATTTCGTTACAAATCGTGACTCATGACATGACTATGTAAATGAAATCGGTAACAATTTTGTCACCAACTTTGCGCATCCTTACCCCTTGTCCGCCAAACATGGCCACCCAAACATTCCCATTTGTATCAATCGTCATCCCATCGGCCAGTCCGAGTGTTCCTGCCGACCTGAAGTTGTATGCCGTACGACGATTGCCTACCGTAAGGTGTGCAAGATAGTGAGAATCCTACCATCAAACTAAAAAGTATAGACATCCATACTTAAAGTCCCGCTTTCCAAATTAAAATCGTACGCGTCCAACCGTCCAGAATTAGAATCAATGTAATACATGACGGAATTGTCAGGTGACCATGTCAGGCCGTTGGCGATGTCGATCTGGCCAAAGTGCACTTCCGGTAAGACACCCTCGAAACTATAGAGCGACCCCTTTTTTAACCGCACTTTCCCCGTCTTTACGTCAAATTCACCCATGGATCCTGGAAATTAGGTGGAAAATACGTATCTTAGGAAGGCATAAGTATAAAATTATGAAATCCAGGGGTTAAAATCGGTGACATGCTTTACGTGTAATTTTAACTCACAATACTCAAAGCTTTATTGGTAATCCGCTCAGTTTCTTGACAAATAAATGTCCGCACATGCGAAAAATTCAGTGACTTTTGAACACTAAAAATTTATCGACATGTTGTATGCACATTTGTCAACGCGGCGATGCGATGTGCGTGAGGAATACAAAAATCTGGATTGAAATTGGTTTGCACACCAATTATTTTTGTATTACCTGCCCAAAGCCTTCCGTGGGCGTCACATTTGCCATCGTTTAACCTGTTGGTTGGAAGTTCATCGTCGACAGTGTGGAGAAGTTTAGCTTCACTGGGGGTGGTCGAAAGGCCATCCCAGTCGATCAGTTGGACCGTTCTTCCTGCAGCGACGATGTATTTATTACGCTCTCTGGCGACGGGAACGACGACGGAGATGTCTTCGGCGTCTGAGTGTACATAAAATGATGAAAGGTATAAAAAAAATCAGGCATTTTACAGATTTTATGTTACCCGTTTCTAACTTGCGCCAATGTTGTACATAGTTTAACTAAGGCGCAAGTCGTCAACGAAGCGATTTTCGTTTTCAACTTGTACAGATAAAAGTCCGCTAATTTCAGAAGTCTCGATAGGGAAAATTGGGGGTACTCGCGACAAGGTGTTAAATCGGAATTAAGTAATTCGCATATGTATTTACTTCGAAACAAAAATATGCAAATTTTCCTAGTAAATGTGGGAACGAAATTGTTTCGAATTAAACAATTTTGCAACATCACGTACTTAAATTTCTTAAGGTATATCAGTAAACTGACAAATTTACTCATTTTCAAATTTCTCACCAATTTCCACCTTGTAGCATTCCTCCTCTTTTGGAAGGTAGCGGAAAACGGAGTGGTGGACAACATCTACGTAGAAGAGCTCTTCTCTGTCGGCGTCCCAATGGGGCCCTTCAGCCAGGCCGGTTTCGCATGGGATGCTTCCCAAGGCTATGGAAACCTTGGCCTGGCTCATTTATTAAAATTTTAAGTTTTCGAGAATTGTTGTTATCAGCTGATGGATGTTACCGACTAGGCAGCTGAGTGCAGTCTGTTGTCAATTTGTCGTTTTATACGATGGGCACATGGGTGTGAATACCTAAATGTAAGGGGGTATACGTGTAATGTTGTTACTGATAAGGCCCGGTGGATTACCCACACACCTGTATGGGCAGGATGTGCTAATGGCTTATGTATTGTATGTCTGAAGTGTGTGGTTATTTATTATTATTAATAATACATTATCTCAAGGTTTTATCAGTCATTCGCGTCGCAGTTGAGAGAGATCGGACGACCCAAATCATGTGTGAATTCGATTCGCACGTGATTTGCAAATGAAACGGGACGTGTTTCACGTACCCATAGTCTGTGCCATAGTCTGATAATAGTCTGTGGCGACTATTGATCACGTTCTCAAAATTGGAATAGAATGTGATTGTTAAGGAATTTAATGGAATTGAGTAAATCTGTATGACCTTCCAGTGATAGATTTCTATGGAAATCACGTGTGAAGACATGCAGGAAAGTAATGTCAGGATCACAGGGCTGGAAGTGCGGATATATTTACATACATACATAATAAATAATATGTACGTTGTGACATATGATGACTAATTGGACAGGTAATGAATGGAATGCAGATGCATGTATGTATGTATACATATATTATTGTGAAGTGGCCTTCCATTCTTGATTCGAATGCCAATGGAAAATTGAGACAAGATATTTATTGCATTATTAGAGCATTGTTTAAGCTAGTTGTAATTTGTACAGCTAAAGAACAAAGATGTTTATCCATATACATATACGACCTAAATTAGAGTAAGTAATTATGTATGTAATTAAGAAATGAGGGTTACCTAACAAGAAAATATATTTTACATAATTACATATTTAATTTGTAGGAACAAGGATTTGTCATGCACCTTGATATTTGAGAAAATAATAAGGAATATACTAAGGTGGGTAATTTCATGTAAGTATTTACAAACATATATTTTTCTATCTATTCTTTAGGAATCTCAAAAACATCATCTTATGAATATATTTGTGTGTGAATGTATTCACTATCCAATCTAAAATCTTTTAAAAAAAAATTCTGATCGTTTGTTAGTTGACAAAACCTTGCAGAATTTTTGAAACTAAATATCTGACACTTGGAAAACTACATATCCTGATAAACACGAATAAATATTACTAGTTTACAATCACAAACTTTGAGTATCATTAATGTTTCTTTGTATACGAATATATTGCTGTAACAACCATTATGGTTTTTAATTTAACACTGGAAATGAGAAACGTGTTTAATATGAGTGAGGTATTCAGGTCGAGGAGGTTCCGGTTTGGGGGAGTTTTCAGGTCGGCGATGGTAACAATTCGAACAGTTGCAGGAACATCGGTTGGCATCAGTGGATGCAAGATCGTTGGTGTGATTGTTAGAACACGTGCCTCCACACGTGCAATGTGGGTCGGACGGGTGACACGGGGTCATCCCGACAGCCTTAGATGTGAAAAGTAAGTATTAAGGTTAATCATTACGGGCTCACATCGTTAGAAAGATTTGCAGAAAAAAAACAAAGTTTGCAAATTCGCAAAAAAAAATTGGCTGGAGAATTCGTTTGCGAATTTGTATATTTCCTCAAGGCTAGTATTTATAGTTTGCAATTTTTTTCGAAATTATATTACGATGCGGACATGCAAACTCGAAATGAAGCTTTAAAAAATCATACCCTTCACATAAAACCATAATGTTTTTTGACTTTCTTACCACATTATTCACAACTTTCACCCAGTTTTCGAACGATGATCTGCTTTCTCCCAGATGATTGCTGAGAACATTGGTCTTAAAACTTTCCACTGCATTGGTGTAATTAGTCGCTGTGCGGAGTTGATGGCGTAGAAATTCCCAGTGGCTTTCCTTGCTGGTGGAGTTTGCACTTTCTCCCACAATTTCGTCACTGCTGACTGCTTTCTCCATGCTAAAAGATATAATGACCAAGTTATGTTATGTATAAAAGAGGTAATCAGACTCGTTTATTATACAGATTGTAATTATATTTTGTAAGATGTAACGAGGTATATCTTGCAACTCTAACAAATTTAGAAAAACAACATAATTTGAGGACTAAAATCTTTATTTTTATTTAGCAAGATTATTTCGTTAAGTTGTAAGTATTTATTTTCTAGTGGGTTGCAATATTAAATAAAATATTGACGTGAGTACGTCCTAAAATTACAAAAGGAATACGGAATATGTAAGCTCACAATTTTGTTATTGTTATTGCTTGCAAAACGTATTGAATACGCGTCTTAATTAAAGAAAATGATTTTTACAAACCAACAAAGTTTACGGCGTTAAAAATTTGTGAGTTTCTCTAAAGGTGATAAACCCAAGTTTTGAACACGATACAGTATGAACTTGAAAACTATTAAAATTCTAAATTTACCAAAGCGACAGTCACAATTTTAAGATGTGTGTAAATAATAGGGAAAAATTTGATAAGAATTTAATACCTTATTATCTAGATTTAACGTGAGAGATGACAGTTGCTTCCCTGCCAAAAGCTCTGTCTTTTCTGCACACAAGTGTTTGAGGGATACAGATTTTGCAAACACGTAGGTGGCCTTGAAAACTTGCTGGGGAAAATACGGGCATATGCAGACATTAAGCGTGGAGAAAGTAACCCGGGTATATCGGGCGAATTCGCTAAAAGATATCGATCCATCCTCTGCGTGTGCAGGTTGAGTATCTCAACTTGAGATATTGAGGAAACTGAGAGTCTCAAATTCCTCAATACAAATGTTTCTTGAACGGAACAAACATGCTATGAAAACTTGATTTTATATGGATTTATGTATGTATGTAAGGTGCGCATTCAGCAGAATTATGACCCAATATTATGATTTTCGGATTACAAGAAACACCCAATTTCGGAATATCTGAAAAGGTTTTACGCATTCATTCATTTTCGGAATTGAATGTGATAATTTGTACAGATTTGTACAGTAGCAGTAGCCTATCCTAACCTAGTAATGATTAACATAATATATACGATAGCCTACACGTATGTGTAACTTAATATAACAGTAGTATGGCCAACTCCATACGGACATTATACCTGCCTGATATTTAGTATAAATACATATGTCTGCACATACTAAAAAACATTATGAGGATGTGCTATATGTACATAATATGTAAAAAGAGCAAATGGTGGATTCATATTTACATATGTCATTTATCCATATAGAAGTTGCGGTAGGCTCTTATCTGTGGCTACCCATGCATTTAATTCTATCCAACTGACGTGTACCAATATTTATGCTTTTGAGAGGATTGTATTGGTCCATTTTTGCATATCAGCACATATTTTATGGTGCAACGGATCTCAATGTTTGCATTGGGAGTTCCACGTGAACATTAAGAGTTTAGATAGAATGGTAATAATCGACATGATTGATTGGTATATGTCACCAATAAATATACACCACCAATACAACCGATCCATAATCTTTTTTTTGTTTCAGAATTATAATGCAAATTTCGGGGGATTTTACTTAAGGGCGGTATTAAGTAACTACATGTATACGGGTTTTCTCGCAACTTATTTAAAATAAGTTGCGGATAAATTGCAGAAAATAAATTATTTTCTGTGTGTATATTTCACTCAATCTTGTTGAAGTATGTGTGTGCAAAATATTGCTGTATATTTGCGCATAACCGTTTAGATACATACAAATAAATATACTTTAAATGATCTTACATCTATGCATGACTTCTTTATTTTATCAAAATTTAATCTGGTTTATATAGTTATAATTAAAATTAAGAATTCGCACTTTTATTACAAAGTACATACAATAACATGGTCAAAAGTATGGGTTGGGACAAATATGTATCTACTTGACCCGTAATATAATTGAACTATCTGTATGCTGACGCATTACTATGGATGGCAATACATAAATACCATTATCACCTGACTAAACCTGTTTTCGAAATACCATTATAGTATTTTTAAACCAGCCACGAGTAGCCTCCTTCCTAAAAACTTTTTCCGTCTTGAAATCAGAGGTAAATCCTTTTTGTTCAATCTTATCCCGAATATAGCTATTGTTGTGATTGTTCACATGCGATGTTCCGCCCTGTCCCTCAATCGCCCAGCTAAGAATTAATCCATTCTTCGCCCCACTGACGTTTGTTATAAAAATATCCTCAAATTCTTTTGGAATATGTTCCCCAACTTCGAGTGAAAGTGTCCATTCGAATTGACAAAATCCAGTGGTTTACTCAAATCCACGACGCCACAACGACCCTCGGACAAATCTTGAGTTTGTGGATTTCCATCGTAACAGGCTACCAAAATTCCGGCAGCTTTCATTTGTTTGGCGTATGCACCCGTCCCACAACCGAGTTCCAGGAGAGTTTTCACCTTTTTGGAAATCAGAATTTCATTTTTTGAATATTAAATAGGAAACGTCCATATATTAAATACGTCATAACAAACGCGGATTTTTATACCAACCACTCACCCCTTCCCTATCGTACTCATGTTAAGCTTGAAACGAGAAAGATTTTCCACCAAAAACTCCCCACATTTTTAATTACGTAATATATGGGCATTCCCTTATTCTAAAACGTTAATATTTATTCTCACATTTTCTCCTCTTAAAAATTCTATGAGTGCTGTCGCTAATGGTTCATCAAATACGTGGCGCGATGTGGCGTCGGTGCCTTGCCAAAATCCTCGATCCGCAACGCCAAAGTCTTTAGTATTTCGTGCTGGCGGCTGAGTTGGCTGGGACAGTGACAGTGAGAGTACTACATCTTTCAGGGATTCATAGGATGCTAATGTTGTCGCCTCAAAACTCCGTAATATTCCGTGAGTATCTGCTACGCTTTTTTTGAAAAGGATGTCCTGCCTTTCGTGAAGCTGTGTCATCCAGTGGAAGTATAAAACTATCGCCTGTCATAATAAATTTAGAATAATATTAAATAGATTAAAACGGGTAAGAGTTTGATAAAATATGAACGATATTGATAATATAATTTCATAATTTTTTAGCTCCAACGTTAAATATTTTAAATAAGTCGTACCGCAATCCCTACAATGATCTTGACAATGGGATTATTCTGTATAACCAAAGACATGATTTTGGCACCCTGTGGAACTTCCTGTTCGGGAATTTTTTGAATAATGTGCAAACCGCAATGAAATGGTACAATATGTAGGTAAAATAATTCTTCTTCCTTACGAATGGACTCTACATAAGTGAATGAATAAATATATATATGTACCCAGCACTTCAATTTTGATTCTGATGATTATGCAAATAAGTATGTAAGTTCGGATGTAAGTGTGCGAGTGCAGAACGGGCTTACTGGGGACTAATCTTATCGCGAAATCGGCGTTGTTTAAACATAATTCTCAGATAACGGCTGAATTTATGTCACTCTTTCCGCGATCGAGGAAATACAATTCTGACTAAAAGCATACCAAAGATACGTAAATGCCGACAAATTATTTGGTCCAGTTATTAGCTCAATCCAGAGATTATGTATGTAACCGACCTGTTCGTCCGAGGCGGGTATTCCCATAGGGTCTGGTGTCACTTTGCATAACGCATTTTGCATACAAAATTATCCCCTAACGCATTTAACCTATATAGTTACTTTGCATAGTAAGTCAGAGAAATATTCCAGGGATAAATCATTAGCATAAAAATATTAAAGATCACGAAATCTGTGCAATTTTCATAACGAACATTAACACTCACGTTGCACCCAACTAATGCATCAGTAAAGATAAGCAATAGTTATCAATCAAAACTGTGCAAACATTTCATTAAAAGTTTCAACTGCGATATAATGGGCTTTATGCATATGTACCAATAAGTAAATGCTTGTGCTACAAAATTTCCAGTGAAAAACAAATAATTTATCATGGTAATCTTATAGTATGTAAAAGAATTTGTGTACTTTCATGCATAAGGCCCTTCCAACGTGTAACGGCGTGGAAGTAGATAACTCTGTGCACTTTAAATAACTTGGAGAAAAATCAAAATCGTCACCCACGGAGATATTGAAGTGATCCATTTCTGGGTACTGATTAAGCAGACGCGTTTGTCATCAAAGAAAAATAAGCCACAAAACTCATGTGCCAAACTGACATTACGTACATAATTGTTTAAAAACCTACAGTTGACAGTGCGCGATGCTTATGTATTTATGTAGTCCGAGTCAAGGGCAGAGTCCGCTTCTAAATTGTGACTTCATTTGGATTAAGGATTACAAAATGAGGATTTTTCCCAATTCCCATTATTCTATATCCTATTAGTAAATAAACTTATCTATGTATATACCGCGACATATTGTGTAATAAGTTAATTTTCGAAACAATTAGTTATGAATAAATACTCGTTGATTTTTGTAGGGTAGTAAGTAACCCTAAGAAATAAATTATTAAATTACAAATTAATTTATTAGCAACCTTATTATTTTCCTGGTTGTTGTAACTTTTGCCAAATATACATGTAAATAACATACGTATAAAAGTATTTATTAAAATAAGTATACTTATAAAATAATGACTAAATTTTATAACTATCTAATTTCTAAAAAAATTACTTCGGTTTTTCTGTCGTTGTGCTACTTATTACTGCTTTAAAATAACTAGCTAACGTTGGATCTATTTTAATTAAAGTGCTAACCCTTTCGCTAACTTTTTTTGATAAAATATCTCCAAATCTAATGCTTGGGTTCAAATTTTCTTCATAAATTGTCCCAAGACAGGTTGCATTTTCTTTTAAAATTGGATTTGGTTTTTCAAAATATGGGATGCATTCCTTAAGATGGAGATAATGTCCAACATCGTACGGTGGAGTGTATCCTGCGGATCCATCTACTGCGATTGTTACAAAGTGAACCGTTGACTCCAAGACGTTGTTTGGAAGTTCGACAAATTTGGATCTGAAATTCATAAAAACAACAAATTTTATGAATTCATATAAATTATAAATTTCGCCAATTCATGAATTTAGGATTTGTTGCGCCAAGGAATTGTTTTTTTAAATTAATTATTTCTTGGGAATATTTCAACTAGGTAATTTGAGTTCATTGTTATTAAAAGTTAATGTAATCCATCATGGGATGGTTCATATATGATGTCATCAAGGAAGTGTATGGGTAGTTTTGGGAGGCCCATCTTGCTCGTATAAAGCTTAACATGAGCAGAAAAAGGACGGGGTGGGTGGGTGGTCTCAAAATATATTGGCCTTTTTTGATGACGTAATACATGGACGTTCCCTAACCGAATAATTTTGTATTTCATTGAGGAACTTCAAACCTTATCAAATATTATACTCGTCTAAATACTCGATACGATCCTTGATCCTTCAATAAAATATGACAAGTTTATAACCATCGACTTACTGATATCCCTCCTGAAACTTAATCCGAGTAGTTAATCGAAGTAGGTTAGCGTCAAAAAAGTCCGTCGATGAATTACTCATATCCCTCGTCGGCCAATTTGCAAAGGAAAAATATGACTGCCAATTTAATTGATTGATAACACCTCCTAATTTCTTGACATCTTCGCTCTCCATAATAAAGTCGATCATGTCACCGTAATTTGAAAATTTGTCGGATGGGATGAGAAATTCATCGATGTCGAGTGTAGTAACATATTTGGCCACGTCCCTGTAACGATAGACGCAATCGTTCGCCTGAACAAATTGTCCGTGACTCATTATTTCGGAAACCAGAAGTTCAAACGGGAGCAAGGTGACAACTGTGGTGTAAACCAGTAAACAACAATTTTATTAATAATTAATTAATGACCACAATTAATTTGCATTTATATTAAAATCAGTTTACCATCTCCATAACTTTGCAAAACTGTGGCAAAAGCGGGACTCATGGAAATATTGTAAAATAGGAAATGTTCAACCCCCATCATTAATTGGTACTCCATCCATTCCACGAGCTCAACTGGTTTTCCCATATTATCTGCCCACGTGTAAAAAGGCTGCGTGCATGACGCAACTTTATACATTAGTTTTTCCTGTCTCGGGGGAGGATAGTTAATTTTTAAAATGTTTCCAATAATTTCCAGGCTGTAATTTGCATGATATATGGATACAAATTTAGGTGGGTCTACTAGCGTATTGTTGGGCAGCTCGCAGTCGACGTAAGCTGGGCTGAAATGTTTATATTAAAAAAATTATCTAACTTGTTTTGGACGTAATATGTATGCAATTGATATTCAATTACTGAATTAATTGAATACCATACCCATATTTATGTCCCAGGCCGTACGGATCTTTACAAATTGTTTTGTACCCTTTAATCGTTATTAATTGCCCATTGTTAGTTTCATTGTAGCTTTCTCCACCACTTCCGAGGAAAACGCAATACACGTCACGAGCCTCTGCTTTCACATCCAGTCCAACAATTCGGATTTTTGCTGGTTTGCCATCCCTGATTTATAAAGAATGTGTAGTATGTATATTTATTGCACATTGAAGTGGGCGTTACACTATCCGTATTAGAAATCTAGTCACGCAGGTACTGATTTCTCAGATTAAAGTTTCTACCGCTTAGTATCAAAATTATACCGGTGCGTAAAAATTTTCTATTCTACGGATATGGCAAAACTTTAATTCCGATCTATTACTACACAGCATTCATTATCAATACCGCATTGGTAGAGTCATATATGAATACCGCTTGGTATCATTTTAACACTGGATTTCTAAGAGTGTATCATTAGATTACATTTTGGTATTAAATTAATTTGCTATTAAACTTGATTACCGTTCGTCTTTAAAGTAGTAAGCTGAATAGAGGAACAATCCATCACCAACAGGTTGGAATCCTAATGTTTGATTGAATCTTGTCATGAACGAGACAGATTCAATATTTGGTCGTGGAAAATATATCGTCTTCCACGCAGTGTTATACTCATTCGAAGAAAATAATGCAATCATAACAATTACGGTTAAGATTAATATTATAAAACCTGCCTGAAAACGGTCAGACAAAATAAATTGAGACATTGGAATTATTAATTCCCAATGCTTTTTAACTAGCAAAACGTATGTGAATGGATATTCTATAATTTTTTTAAACTTTCTTTCTTCCTAAAAATTTATAAGGTATGATTAACAATTCAAACCAAACCGACAAAAATATGGCCCAACAGGATTAAATTTTGCGAAATTGAACAGTTAATTCTGCCGTATGTAATCTAATCCATTGTCAAATATGACAGAATTATTTGCACGCCGGTGTTACATATGTACGTAAGCATTGACGCTCCGAAACCGTACATACTTACGTAATACTACACGTCGCAGTTGGATCTTATCTGTTATACTGTCATGAAATGTTTGCACGGCTGCGATTTACCACTAATGCTTATCTTTATGATTTATTTATATGGCACGTGTTAATTTTAGTTATGCAAATTTCACCGGTTTTTTATGGTGTTTAATATTAGTTTAATTTAGTAGAACTTTAGCCCCGGAATATTTTTCTGATTTGCATATCGAATTAGTTCGTTAACTTGTGGATAAGATATTTCCAGTAAAGAAAGTTTATTAGTAAAAAAATCGTGCCGAAAAGGAACAGGTGAGTCATCGTGTAATTGCGTACGTAGTCCGAGCCAGGTTGTGTCGTTCTACCCGAAAATCATAAAAATTAGTCCCCAAATATACATAATAGACACCGAATACCCGGTTAATTAAATGCTAATATTCTACAATAAGCGACACTATCCTACTCGACCCATGTGACCTCACTAATCAACCACTTTACCCTAGTCGTCAGCTATTTGACTCATTGTGTATGTCATCATCAAGTTCGTACAACGTGTTCATCATCGAAAAATACATGTGTAATAAATTTACCCTCAATACAAATATATAGTACTACCTATTCAAATGATAATCATATAATTTCGAACTCGGACAGAAATTAACGGACGGACATGACGGTTACATAATCCCTGATTCGGACTATGCAGTTGAGCAAATAAATAATTAATCTGCACCGGAGATATGGATATCTGTTTAATAAGGATATTTCTCGCTTCATTAGGTATACACAGGAAAGCCTGATATTGCGCACGTCCTTATCTGCATAGCACGTGCGCTTGCATAACAACGAAATCACGATGGGATCACTCAACTTATGCCGAATTTGTATTTAAGTATGTAATTACTTAGCTTTTACAGTAGTCATAAATACATACAAAAAGCAAATTATTCCCTTAATAGCCCTCACAACTAACAATAATATTCTATGTAGAATGCCCCCGTTAAAAGTATCGATTCAAAAACTGGTACAAATTATTAGTCCCCACATTAAGGAGGGGCCCTCACCGGAGAAATTATGCCAAGTACATATGCCATATAATTTAATTGATTGATAACAAGGCATGATGTTAAGGCCAAGCCATGATGCTAAGTTTTCATCATCTCTAAATCTTTGTGCTACGTTATCCTCGCTAATTTCAAAATGGTGCTCCATGCAAACTTCCGCTTCCGGGGACAATGGACCACTGCATGTGTACGAGCTAAGAATCGCCCTTACGACGGGTGGATTTAATGCGGCAGCTGGTATGAATTTTGGCTTTTTTCGAATTAGCTCAAAATAAATTTTAAAACATTAATTGTTTTATACGATTCTAAACAGATGCCTTAATTTCCATGGATAAGTACCAACTAGAAGTTAGAAGTTGGAGGTTCGGAGCTCTACAAAAATTGGCCGATTTGGAAAGATATTTCACTGTTTCTATCCTTTTCGGAGTCGTTTGTTTTGGCGTAGCCATAATTTCTACGAATTTATACCAATCCGGTGATCAGCCGACACACCGATCCGTCTCACCAACCATTCGGATATCCCATCAAAATGGAATTTCGAACCATAGAATCGATCGAATCAATAGATTCGTGTTGCAAGAACCAATTTCAAATTTTATCGGAAGAAAATCCCAACTTGTCGAATTGCAAGAATTATTCGAGGCAAGAAATAAGGAAAGATTTATCGTCCACGTGACAGGACCGGATGGTATTGGGAAGAAAGAATTATGTCGAAAATTTGCACAAAAAATTGATCCTTTGATTCCCGTGTCATGGCTGAACGCGGAGTCAAGTATTTTATTGGTAAATTCATTAACGAATTTAGCACTAAACAGGTTAAACAAGGACAGCATTTTAGATATCAAAGTTATCATTGACCAAATTGCCGTTAAGATGAAGGCTACTTCTACTTCCGCGTGGATAGTAATACTTAGCGACGTCATAAATTATGACGACGCTGAATTCCAAGCTATTCTGTTGACTTTATTTCGAGCGGGTGCCTTCATAATTATAACGGGCAGATCACAAGTTAATTATAATCCTGAAAAAAATTTACCCATCAAAGAAATTCAATTAGATGGCTTACTTTTGGACGAAATGGTCCAATTATTCCAATCTGAACTAAAACCACTCGATTATAACTTTGGAATAGAAAACGTCGTCAAAGTGTGTCACATGGTTCAATTTAACCCACTAGCAATTCGTCTAGCAGCCTCCTACTTGGGTCGGAACGTTGGAAACGTTAACTATTTTCTGCAAAAATTAGAAACAAGTAAAAACATGGACGACATATTTTTAAAAATGGTAGAATTAGCTAAGGAAAGTTTGAAAAATCCAAATTGTGACTCCATCCTGGAAGTAATGTCATTTTCTTCCGGAAACGAAATGGATTTTAAATTTCTTAGAAAATTATCAACAAAATTTGAAACCACACTTCCCCTCTGCATCACAGAATTGTCATCTTATTCCATCCTAAATATAAAGCGATGGGAACAAAATGACCTAATTTTTATCGAATACCCGCTTCCCCTCAGAAGAGTACATTTTAACTCGCACTCTATACAAAAATTAGACTCCATTCTATCCAGTATTTCCGATACATTGCCAAGTTTCAAAACACCCCAAGAAATCGTAGCTTTGACTAACACATACATTTCCGTGGTCACTTCCGGTTCAACCCGTTCCGATTTATTCGCCAAGTATTCTCCACTTTTGAACGAATTTCTGAACACTTTGTCCAACACCCCAAATATGTTACCCGTCTTGACTCAATTATCCTTATTTGGATACCATCAGCTTACCCAATATTCCCGAAAACCGGGTATCCTACACGATAAAAATTTTATCACCATGGAAACCAATATTGCTCAGGGGTTAATGAAAAGTCACAAATATTACGAAGGCTTATCCATCGCACATAAATTACGAGAGAAAAGCCTTCAATTACATGGAGAAAATCACGCTGATACCGTAAAATTAACCAAACTAATTAAATCCGGTGAGGCTGCCTGGCTTCATGGTAAAGATCCTTACCAGTTAGCGCAGGAATTGGGTTCGAATCCTGACATAGCTAAAAAATCAATCCATGAAAAAATCACTCTGTTTGAAAATATTGCAAATAATTTCTTTGATAATGGATTTTTTCAGGATGCAATTCACTACTATAAAATTGTTAAGGGGTGGAAAATATATAAATATGGGGCAAAATCTAGACACACTTTGGACACTATTTTGCAGCTGGGAATTTGTTTTAGCAACATTAACAAATTTAAGGATGCTATAACACAATTCGAGACAGTGTTTGATAATAGTTTAGTTCTTTTTGGGGAGGAGGATGACCTTTCCATTGGGGCAATGGAATGGTTAGGCTTAACATTGTACTCTTATCATGAAAGTGCTGCGGCGCCGGCGGAGGGGGATAGTAATGATTTAGGGAGAGATTTTAAAATAATGGAAAAAGTTGTCACCATTTTGGAACGTATTAAAGGAAAAGAAAATGAAGAGACAGTTTTATACAGAGATATGATGGAAAAAATGAAGGTGAAATATGTCGCTTCAAACTCTGCTATTACCAATTTAAAGAAATATACGCTTTGAAATATTGCTTGCTAGGAAGGCGACGTTCTCGTTATTTTAAAAATTTAAGGCTGTTAGGAATAATTAAATTATGAAACAATTATGTAGTAGTTTCACGTCGAAATTTATACGATATAAAATATTATCACGTATTTATTAAGATAGTTGTTTTTAACTTTTATATGTATAATTAAGACATTTCATTAGTCAACTTAATAAGTCGAATAAATATGCATAGGAATATATTTAGTTATTTGATACACATTTTTAATAATTAATCCAATTTTTTAAATCATAAATGCTATTATGGTCGAGGAATTATAATTAAAGACATTTTTGCAAAAGAAATATATGTAAAAATGTCTTTAATTTTAATGCCTCGACCATAATCAACTTAGTCTCAGCAACTTCATAAAAACATAATAAAAACATACATAGGTATTAAAAATATTAAACCTTTACTCAATTTATGTAACGCATATGTAGATACATACATACTACTTATTTTAATAATTCAAAGAGATTCAAGGGAAATTGGTACTTATGTATATATTGGTACTTGCGATAGTCTCTTATCGGGAAAATCTGTACATATTTATTTAACCCAACGCAGGTGGATGGAATTGGGATGCGTTTTTTTCACTTGTTTCAAAGCTCGCTTGCACTGTGACACGACACCTGACACTCATACAAAATTCATTATTATGGCGTTCATAGGTACAGATAGCTATCGTAATTGACATGATAAGGAACATGCACAAATATGCAATAATGCAACTGTCATTCCGTGAAACCGATATATATTTTTCATAGAAATGTCGGCAGATTTTATTTGAGATCGATATTCTATTCTATCTCTTTCCTGCCGTATGCCATTAAAGTGAAGTAAATATGTATGTATGCATTGGTAGGTGGATGGAACTTTGTTTGATAATGAGTAAGAATTAAATGATTCGACAAGCAGATCCGCCGACTATTTCAAAAGTACAAATACTCTATTGGATTATGTTCCCCACATGAAACGAATTAAAATTTAGCATTTTTTCGGGCGCCAAAATTTCCTTTGGGGGGGTTATGAGAATAATGGGAGATAAATGTGGTGCACATAGGGCACAGCATATCTATGAAATGGGTTGATGAAATTTCAAAAACAAAATTTTGTTACACTCTCTGGATCAGTACCCCGATAGGTTTTTCGAACTGAGGTGGAATTCCGACTTTGAGGGGTTTTTCACAGCGGCGCAAAATTGACTCAGAAATTAATTTTTCGCTATAACGAAAAAGTATGACGAAATGTTCATACATTAGCTTTTCACCAATTTTTACTACATTGCAAATTATTAGTAGTAGAATAAAGGTTAAATTACCCAGAAAGTCGAAATCGACCTGCGTGACCTTTTTCGGGGATCGAAAGGTCACAATGTCAAAGGTCACATAGCCACATAAATGGGGTATCGTTGGAAAGGTATTGGCGAGAGGATTCAGAATATGTATACTTTGTGGGGTCTGAAACCACTCCCTGCAAACATAGAGCCAAAAGAATATTTTTGAGTTTTTCCCATGCATGCTTCCGTGTTAGCTCCCAATCCACTGCTGTGTTAAATTCTGGACAACTGCCGATTTTCGTTCTTTGGCCTCTAGACTTGCAGGGAGTGGTTTCAGACCCCACAAAGTATACATATTCTGAATCCCCTCGCCAATACCTTTCCAACGATACCCCATTTATGGGGTAATGTGACCTTTGACATTGTGACCTTTCGATCCCCGAAAAAGGTCACGCATGTCGATTTCGACTTTCTTTGTAATTTAACCTTTATTCTACTACTAATAATTTGCAACGTAGTAAAAATTGGTGAAAAGCTAATGTATGAACATTTCGTCATACTTTTTCGTTATAGCGAAAAATTAATTTCTGAGTCAATTTTGCGTCGCTGTGAAAAGCCCCTCAAAGTCGGAATTCCACCTCAGTTCGAAAAACCTATGGGGGTACTGATCCATAGAGTGTAAAAAAAATTTTGTTTTTGAAATTTCATCAACCCATTTCATAGATATGCTGTGCCCTATGTGCACCACATTTATCTCCCATTATTCTCATAACCCCCCAAAGGAAATTTTGGCGCCCGAAAAAATTGCTAAGTTTTAATTCGTTTCATGTGGGGAACATAATCCAATAGAGTATTTGTACTTTTGAAATAGTCGGCGGATCTGCTTGTCGAATCATTTAATTCTTACTCTAATATGGAATACGAGGAAAAGTGATTGTATTTATTTATTAAGCTCAGGCAAGCAGTGGACGCGGAAGCTGTGGGGACATCTGGGGACATTGACATTATAGGATAAGGGAAGGGTTTATACAACATAAACAAATGATCTAGACATCGAATAACCGTGGGGACATTGTCCCTCTGTCCACACGCTTCCGCTGCCACTGTAGGCAATTAAATATCCATGTCCATGCATTTCTACATAAAAATCCCTGAAACTGATTGTGAATACAATTAATTTGCATTCTCAGAAATAAAATCGAATAATAAAAATGAAATGCATGACATGACAAATAGATAAGCCAATTGCCAGAATATGGTTGATTTTATTCTAAGCACTCCAGACTCTCTCAGTACTTGAAACATAATTTCAGATTAGCCATGTTTCAACGATGATGCTATGATGAACAAAAAATATCTGGAATAAGTAGGAAGAGATGGATTTGAACCAAAATTTGTGCACTATAACGAAGCTTAAACATAGTTAGGATGTTTTGAATCAAAACTTCAAAATCAAAACTTCAAAATCAAAATTTCAAAATCAAAACTTCAAAATCAAAATCAAAACGTTTGATTTTTTAAATCTTCTATGTATGTAGGTAAGCAGCATCGGCGACACTAATTTTTCAAAGTTTAACATCTGTTGAACAAACGTCATATTTCAAAATGCTATTATCACAGTGTGATCGGGTTTTTAATGCTGTGGGGAAAATACCTAAGTAGACGTTACAAATTCATGATCATACAATAAAACACATGGAACAGATATTCATGTACGTATGTAGACAATAGGTACAAATATAAGAAGCCGAAACATAGAGGGTATTCATATTATTTCTTCGTATCCTCAGTACCTATTTATTCTTCGTATCGCAAAATAACTTACTATGGTCACGGAATTTTGTAAGTTTTTGTCATCGAAAATCGCGTTACTACGATTACAATTTTTACGAAGCTTGACCCATTGCTTTTTCTTCGTAAATTATTTTACGATACTAAGGATACGAAGAAATAACGAATACCCTCAATATATTGTTTCATGTAATCAGTGCTTTTCATTTCACATTTTTAGCATGAGGTAATGAATCTATGATACCTACATATGTATGTACATATATAATTCCTTCACAACATTAAAAACCGGATCACACTACAGTACGATAATAAGTAGCATTTTGAAATCTGTCATTTTGTTTATAAGCAAAACGAAATTTTTTTAGCTGACCCGACTCTCACCCAATTATGAAATCAATTGCAATTAAATATTATATCTACATATATTTAAGTATGGAGCTTTATACAATCTGTATTAATTCGACATGCTATTTTTTTGCTGGCAAAAATATGAAGGAAACACATCTCATATTCCATTCCATTTCCAATTTTATTCAAGTCACGTCATCATTAAGTTGCACATAATCTTTTAAATTATGCCTTAAATCCCTACGCCCAAGAAAAGTCAAACCCAGTCGCGGTGATGCTGCTATCCGTGGTGAAAGTCACGAGGGAAAGCCCACCCGGAATTGGGAAAGGATTTGGCATTGTTGTCCCGCAAAATCTGAAATTGGTCAATTCAATATAAAACCTGTCGACAAAAATATTTTTTTCAATCTCTTAAAAAAAATCCAGTCAAATTTTCACCTCAGGGATTGCGTGTACTGATTATTGGTCCAGGTGTACACCGCCAAGGCGTCGTACCCACAGTCACTGGCATCTTCAATATCAACCCGGGTGAAGGTGAGGGTCTGATCGCCACCCACTTCCGGGTTGACGATGAAGACGGCATTTTCGTTATTTTGGTAGCTCCCACCTCCGACAGGGTAGGAGTGCGAGCCGGTGGGTGTCGTCAAGTGGGCGAACCCACTCAAGGCGATGGTCGTACTATCGAGATATCCGCTCGAGTAAAATTCCAAACTGAATCCTTGCGATGTTCCAGACGGTTCGGCGATAAAGGTCAAAAAGTACATGCCACTAGGAAGCATCACGTCTTCGCCGACAGTTGTGCTAAAATTTGCAGAAATTAATTAGGCACAATTTTTTTAACTTGAACTGTAAACTTTGAATCAGGGGTCAACTCAGGTAGAATTTTACGCCCATTGAGACACCGAGCCGCCGAAAAATCACTAGACTTGACCCGTCAAAATTTTTCGACGTTGACCTCTCCTTTGAATTACATACATTTGGACTTGACGCCCTGGCCCGACGAGGTTGTATTCTGTGACGTAGATTCCGTCCCCAGAGGTAAGACCGGACTCGACAAGTTGCATCCTCAACTGGTCATAGGGAGCCTTCACGACCCAGGCGCATTTCTGATTTGGTGCCACATTTGACCCAAGGTTGAAATTAATAGCGGCCGAGGTCGACTCAACCATTCCTCCGCAATTTGTGACTATTTATGCGTGAATATATTTTTTTTCGTTAATTTACTGTTGTATTTAAATCTGGTAATAAATTATTATTACCGGTTGTAGCTGGTTCTGGATCTTCGGCGGTGGGTGTGGTCATTTCTCTAATCCAATCAGCAAAGTAGCTCGTTTCCGTGTAAACGCCTGGAAATCCGGGTCGAGCACAGCCATTGCCAAAGGAGACGATGCCACAGAGAGCGTTTTCCGGTCCACACATGATGGGACCACCAGAGTCTGAGGTATTTCAACAAATTATTATTAATTACAAAAATTTCAGTAATTTGAATAAATTTAATATTCATAACTTCATACACACTCTTGGAAATCCAGTATTAAAATAATACCAAGCGGTATTCATACATTCATACATCTATGGCTCTACCAAAATGGTATCGTTAGCTAAAACAGCTCTGTATTAAAGTTTTGTCGTATCGATAAGTATGTAGCAAAGTTTTACGGATCGGGATATAATTTTAATGCCAATCGTTAACAACTGAGAAATCAATACCTACATGACCATAGCAGATTTCAAACACCATAAGATTACGCACCTGCTTGACACGAATCCTTTCCAGCCTCTCCGTAACAGATCATCGACTCAGAAGTACCACCAAACTCGGCATAGTTAGCG